AGAGGGTAGTTATTATAGCTTTGTTCCTTCTGGCATCAATGGTAGCTCCTCTTATAGGGTCTTGAATCCCTTCTGTGGTGACATGGATTAATGTTATAATAATAATCTCAGATAATTCTGGGATGTCATCAGCAAGAATTGACAGGGTGATGGTCAACAGCGCCTGGCCTTCAGAAAATGAAATCTAAAAATTTAGAGAAAGGGATGTCATTGATATTGTTACTACCAATTGATTCTACTGAGATATTATTCAAACCATTCAATAGGAACACCATAAGAATGCTTTATTGAAATCTCTCACTGGCCACATATCACAGTAACTATGCATACAATGAAGCAGAATGTAATTTCAGAAACAATTCAGACTCTCTTTTTACTGAAAGTTAGAGGAAAACCTGGTTAGGAACAGGAATCCATTTCTAACATTAAGCTAGTAAACTATACTGAGTCAAAATGCCAAATGCTGCTTTATGTCTTTTATTAAAGTAAATACTCTTCCTGGGAATACAGGTCCCAAATTACAGCCTTATTTGTTAATGGTAATGCAGGACAGGGAAATCATAAATAAATAACACCCACAAATTATCTAAAAATGTCATCGCAGCCTAATAGCTTCAACCTTTTCCCCACAAAACCTTTTGCCAGAATTGTTACTCATTTCTCTTTATTTCCCCTGTGCATGTTCCCATTGGATGTGTTATTTAGCAATGAAATAAGCAAAAAGGATAAGGAAGAGAATAAGCTTGCTGGATAATCCACAAACTCAATATGCATTTAGTGACTGAGCCAAGAGAGAGTTTTAATACCAAAAGGGAAAACAATTTATAGTCTAGATCTAGAATACTTGTCAGGAACTAACAATATTGTGGAATTAAAATGAAAAATAAATGAAATCAAGTTCACGTAGTTTAAAAAAAAAATACTAACATATTAAACTGTTACCAGTGTTTTGTGCACCGTGAACATTGTATCACAACAGAACATTAATGTGGCATATCAACATACATCTGAATATATTATAGCCCTTGCTAATTATACTGGAGCTCTTGTTATAAAGACCATTGAAATGGGGCTGCCTTAGAGGTCAGAAAGCTTTACAAAGAAGCCCTATTTATTAGGACCCAGAAGGTGAGTGGGAAGGCAGGCCACACAGGCTGACGTTTTTGCTTCCCTTTCACTCAAACTTCTCTTTGCCTCAGTTTCCTCAACCATAAAATGAGAATCATAATAGCACCTACCTCCCAGGGTTGTTATGAGGATCAAATGAGATAATATTTGTAAAGTGCTTAACATAGTGCTTGGCACAGATTAAGAGCTATATAAATATTACCCATTAATAATAATAACAATTATCATTATCATTATTATTATTATTATTTATTCCAGATCTTTTATCTTTATCTATCCTCAGAATCACAACCTGACTCTTCTATCTTCTGATTATTTCCTTGCTTGATACAGGCAAGTCACTTAGCTCCTCATATGTAAAATGATGGGGTTAAACTAGATACCATCTAAGGTCCTTTCCAATTCTGAATCTAGGATCTCCGTTTGAGTATTGACAGTCTTGACCTTAAACTGTTCCCTAACTAAGCTGTAATGGCTCAGAATGAATGATGACCTGAGGTCTTTCATGGGATACTTATGATGGTGTCAGCATAGCAAAATAGGAAGAGTCAGGAAATATGAATCCCAGTTCTCCCATCATCTTGCTATGGAGCCTTGGGCAAGGTACTTGGCTTCTCTGTTTCTTCACCTCCTAAATTTAGGTGGTCGGGATAAATGACTTCTGACATCACTTCCAGCGTTAACATTTTATGATGTATTTCAGGTTAATCCATGTAGTCAACTCACCTATTCCTCTACAACTTGCTGACAAAAAGGATCTCATTTCATCCACATTCATTTATTAAGGGCCATCTATGCACAATACACCATGTGAGGTCTCTGTCAAGGACTTAATATTCTACTAGCATATACATATGTATTTGTAAGATAAGTAAACACAAGATAAATCAATAAAAGATTATTTGGGGAGGGAGAGACCACTAACACATGGAGGGTATCTGAGAAGACTTCATGGAAAAGGCAGAACCTGAACTGAGTTTTGGAGGAGGAGTCTTGCGGCAGATGCAAGGGATACATGCATTCTAAGCATGGGGAATGACTCCTCTGAAGCCACAGAAACAGGAGATGGATCATCAAGAACATGGAACAGAGGGTTGTTCACTTTGGCTGGAACGGGAAACTGGTTTGAGTCCAGGAAACGGAGGGAGTAATGTAAAATAATTAGACCAAGGGAGGTTGGAACCAAATTATGGAAGATATTTAGTGATACTCAGAAGAGTCTGTATTTTATTCATGAGACAAGAAGCCACTAACGATTTCTGAGCTCCTTGAGGGCAGAATTTTTTTTCATTTTTTTTTTTTACTTTTTAAACTCCTAATAAATAGCAATCTTAAGTCACTTATTTGTATATGTATCCCACATACTAGGCACATGGGACACATGTACAAAAATGAAATGATTCCTGCCCTCTGAGAGACATCAGAACCATGTCACCTACTCAAAAATCTTTTGTGGCTCCTTATCGTCTCATGAATAAAATGCAAACCCTTCTGAGTGTTATTTAATGGCTTCCACAATTTGGTTCCAAACTACCTTTGCCAACTTATTTGTATCACTATTTCCCTTTGACATGAATAAAACCCTATTTTTAAAAATTCTCTTTCATTGATTGATTAGGTTGTCTCAACTTGCTACTGACCTTTATTATTAGTCTACAGCATGGTTCAGAAAAGATCCCAGGAACTGCACTATATTCAAATCTGAGCTGCTTCCCTGGACCCTTCAATGAGTAGGCCCCATTCATCTAAGAAAGCCTGACCTCATGCTGAATTCCATGTTTCAATGATTGACATTAGAGTCACACTCCAAAAAGCATATAGCAAAAGTCTAATAGAAGGTGTTTAGCATCTCACAATACCAATCATCATCATATAGGAATTTCATTATAATTTCATAAATTACATACCACCCCTGACGTGGGAAATATGTCACTAATACTTCCAGTTGCTACCCATTCTACTGTTATCCGACCATACGTTCCTTTTAAACGTTCAACATTCAAGGTTATCAAATTATCCTGTTCCATTTCTTCCACTTGTTTATATAAAGAATTCTGAAAATGCAGAACAATAACAAACATATTAGTCATTTGAAACTGTCTCGGCAGAACTGTTATTATTTAATATTATTAGACCTTCACAAAATTACAAGTATAAGGTATAATATGTAAAATGATACTATCTATAGTGGAACAATGCACCAGTTTGAGAGAGTTAAGAGGTGTGGATTCTAGTCCACTAAAATTCTCTGGGTTTTAGTTTCTTCTTCTATAAGTAGTAGCTAAGTAGTACAATGAATAGAATGCTGGGCCTAGAGTCATGAAGACCCAAGTCCAAATCAAGCCTCACAACCTTACTAGCTGTGTGACTCTGGGTACGTCACTAAGCCTCTGTCTGCCTCATTTTCCTCGATTATATTATGGGGATGCTAATAGCATCTACTTCTCAGGGTTGCTGTCAGTCAGTCATTAAACATTTATAAAGCACCTATTATATGCCAGGAGCTGTGTTAAGGGCTGAGGATAGAAGGAGTGGTCCTGTGCTCAAGGAACTCACAATCTAATGGAAGAGACAACAAGCAAACACATATGTACACATAAGGTATATGCAAGAAAAATAGAAAATATAAGTTAAAAGAGGGAAGGTAACAAAATTAACAGTTGTTGAGAAAGATTTCCTGTAGAAAATGAGATTTTATAGAAGGTGTTTTTTTTTTTTTATGAGGATCAAATGACACAATATTTGTAAAGCACTTAATACAGTTCCTTGCACACTGTAGGAACTTAATGTTTATTTGTTTCCTTCCTGCCTATGATGGGCTTCAACTGAATAATGAATAATAATCAAAATAATTCACATGCTAGTTCTATGAATCCCACTGATAGAAGTTCCCATTCTCTCTTTTTTTGTAACCTTTAGAACCAAAATTAAAGAAATCCTGCTGATTTTCCTTCCCTTCTTTGTCAATTTCAGATGTTTTATATTTCGTTTATAAGACTTTAACTTCATTTTCGCTACCAGCAGTCTTTCTCTCCTGCTAGCTTTCTCATTTTCCTCATGTTCACAATCATACTCTCTAGGCGCTTTCTCTAATTCCCTTCCCATTTTCAACTCTGTATGTTCTTAATGTGCCTTGCTTGATATCTGTAAACATCTCTTCTCAAATGCTTGCACTTCTTCCCTTCAAAATCACTGAATTCCCCTAAGATACAATACAGAACACACAGTTTTTCAGGGCAGGCTCTCATCATCTCCTGCATTATGTTCCAACTCTATTTAAAATGCTAAATCTTTGAAAAGGGATCATGTCTAGCTATATTTTATACAACATTTTAACATCATGTTACAGATGTTAGATAGTAATAAAATCATGCCCAAAGCAATCAAACATTCCCTGAGAAACTGTCACCATTTCTAAAATGTGCACATCATTTATTCACAAGGGACCACATAGCTCTTAGGAAGCCTTGCTTCTCTGGCTCTGTGCATTCAATTAACGAGGTTAGTCAATGAGCATTTGATGCAACCAGAAAACACACGTGAAACTCTCATTAGTTACTTTCCTTAATCAAATGTGCTATTGCCAGATTCTCCAGACTCCATGAGGCCTTGATTAACTAATTCCAATTAGCAGATTTAAAATAAAGTCAGATCCATTACTGAGAGTTAGCTTAAGTCTCCTGAATATTTGGAAATAAGAAACTAACAAGAGCTTACTAAAGAGAACCTAGCATACCTAAGTGACCAACAAGTAACACACTTTCCTTCACATACAAATATGATAGATTCATAGTCAACAAAATATACTTTGAGGTTGGTTTTGTTGTTTTGTTTGTTTTTTTCGTAGGACAGTTAAAAGGCCCTAAGGTGAAGAAAGGGTTGTTCGTGTTTTCGGTTGTTTTTTTAACTCTATCTTCAGTAACTAACAGTGCTTTGCACAGACCAAGACCACTAATAGGTGTTTGTTGAATTAAAATTTATCTTTTCCTCTCTATTATGCAGCCTCCTCATTATCATTGGATACTAAGCATTTATAAGAAAACTGGTGAGGTTTTGGGGTGCCATATGCAGCCACAGAACATGATTTTTCTAACAACTAACTCATTAGAAAGTTGCCTAACACAGAGACAGAACCTACTACTATATGTGCCTCATTAGCACTCTATTCCAGAGGGTCCTAATGTGGTGTCTCTAAACTTTTTTTTTTTACTATTTTGATGATTTCACTATAACTGCCTTTCTCTATATTCCTATGTATTTTATTTTATGCAATTGAAAATATTCTGAAAAGGGGTCAAAACAAAAATGTTAAGAATCCTTGGTCTGGGGAAAATACAGTGAGAAAACAAATAATATCCCCATGGAAAATCCCTGGGATCAGCCTAAGATGAGAAAATACATGATACCACTTGGGTGTTCAGTACACTAGAACCACAATAAAAGGCAATGCTTTTGATAAGATCATCAATATTTTTTAAAAATACTAGTAATTTGTGAACAAAAAGAATTAAATAAAAAGTATACATTCATCAGACCTCTTACATAATATCAATGATTTCATCACTCACGTTAGGCACACCCAAAGCAAGTCCAAGGTAAATGAAATATGGACAGCCCATCATAAAGCATATCTATACACCTCTTTAAAAATATGAATACCAACAGAGTAAGTTTGGGTTTTTTTTTCTAACAAAGCAAAATTGCTGATACAACACAACGCAATTGTCTTCTGCCTGTCTGTAGCACCAAGAGTTAAGAGTTGATATCAGGACTTAGATGTTCAGGATCTATCTGAGTATACTGGCTAGAGAGGAATATTGACTCTCAAATGCAAATCCCTGAAATTGCCTTGTTTCTCAAAGGCATCCTAGGCTATGATCAACCACTACTACTCCTATGTCAATGATTGCCGAATAGATTTTAGGTCTAGAAGTATGAGGTGAGTATCCAAAGTTCCTCCATAATGGCAAATAAAGAACCTCCATGAAATGGTCACATTATTTGAATCTGCACTGCATATATCCATTGGGCTGGAACCAATTACCATATTTTACATAATAATAACTTTGAATAGTATGAATTCAAACACATGGGAATCTAGCTGTGGAACGTTACTTTTCTGACTGCATTTCTTCCACAGAATTCACACAGCTAAAAAGAGGTATATAAGATATTCCTGAATGTGCAAAGGTGCTGTAGAAATGCAATAAATTAGCCCAACTTCTAAGAACAGGATTTTTATACTGGTACCTGAGCAAATGCAATGACTCCATAAGCATCATCGTTAGATGGAATAACTATTTTCACATTATTATTAATGCCAATCTCTGCTCCTCCTTTGGGATTTTTAAGCTGAACTCTGAAAGATTCTTCTTCCTCTGGTATTATGTCATCAAGAATATTGACTGTAATTATAGCTTCCTTGGTTCCAGGTGTGAATATCAATTCACCTGAGCTGGCATGAGAAATATATATATATGTACATATATATATATATATACACACACACACACATACATATACATATATAAATATATATACATAAAATGAGTACAAAAATAAGGAACAAACAGGATAGATTGGTTACAAAAATCTCAAAGTACTAATAAATGTCAACAACTGGAAAAACAAAAGTACTTCCTCAAAATAAAAATGTTCAAATTGATGATATTTTTGGCTAAATATAGTATAAGGATCTTAGGGATATATATATGGGGTATATCAATATGCTATCTCTTGATTCCTATGCATTTAAATTTTAAGTCACCAAAGAAATTTTGGTCCCAGATATGTGAGCTCCAAAAGAGGAAAGAGGGGGCAGCTAGGTGGCGCAGTGGATAGAGCACTGGCCCTGGATTCAGAGGGATCTGAGTTCAAATCCAGACTCAGACACATAACACTTACTAGCTGTGTGACCCTGGGCAAGTCACTTAACCTCCACTGCCCCCCCAAAAAACAAAACAAAACAAACAAAAAAAAACAACCAAAAGAGGATAGAGTCTAAACTAATGCAGAGCAGCACATGTTCCATAAGCCATAGTTCTAGAGAGCTATCTGGCAGCACTAAGAGGTTACATGACTTGCACAAAGTCATGCAACCAGGATGTGTCAAAGTCAGGACTTAGACCTAGCTCCTTCTGACCCCAACGCTAGCCGTCTATCCTGTGACACCCACCAAAAGGGTATTTATCAAAAATATAGAATGTAGAATATAAAGTATATTAAGATGCTCAGTATAAAATGTGAAACCTACCTGGGAATAAAATCAGATTGGTCTGAGATATAAGACAACTCATAGATCTGTGAATGATGTACTCCTGCTAAAACAATGAGATTTTTGCTTGAATTCAGTGACCTCACAGTAACAGAAACTGCATCATCAGCAGAAGGTGCTCCCAAAACAAAAGAGAACTGATTTAACTCTGAACTCCAGCAGTAGAGAGCAGATTCAACTTTGCCAACAAGGAGTACGTGGACTGTAAGGAGTAAGGAAAAGAAAGAAAAAAGAAAAATGACAAAAGGAATGAGTGACCTTTAAAAATGCTATGAAAAAATGACAATAGTATGGCTATATGACCACTGTCCATTTGAAATGTTTCCTAAATCACAAGTCTGTCCATGTCACCACCCCCCGACTCAATAAACTCCATTGGCTCCCCATCACCTCCAATATCAAATATAAAATCCTCTTTCTGGCATTCAAAGCCCTTCATAACCTCTCCTCTCCCCTTTCCAGTTTTGTTACACTTTAAACTCCATCCCACCCCACTCCATGTAAATCAATAGCCATAATACTGAGGTAAAAAGAGGCTAAAAATGGCCTTAGCCAAAAAACACCTGATCTCCTTGCTAAGCGGAAAGACACAAAAGCCAAGAACATTACTAACATAGAGTATAACCTCCTCTGTAACACTTCGTAGAGCTGGATATTGGAAGAATGTGAACAATGTTGCCTCATTAATTATCAAGAAGCAGGGTACAAAAAAAGAGAGGAGGAAATTTGGAGGATATTATGAAGGTACCAGTGCAAGATGGGGCAACAGCCAAGGCAATCATGAGATTAAAAGAACCCCAAAGTTTCCTAGCTGGGTCATCAGTGATATGCTAATAGTGCCAACTATACTCAAGAAGGTGGTTGTAAAGCAGGAATATAAAAGGAATGGAAGATGAATGTAACTGTTCTGTAATTAATACTATTGTGCTAGAAGAAATGATGAAATGGAGGTTTTAATAGAAATCTGGAAAGACTTGTATGAAATGGTGAAGAACTAAGAGAACAATTTATGCAAATGACAGCATTGTAAGTACAAACAACTTTGAAAGATTTAAAAACATTCAATGACCAGATTGAGAACTGATAATGCAGATCTAAAGAACTGATGATGAAGCATGCTACCCACCTCTTGCCACAGAGGTGATGGACTCAGGGTGAAGGATGAGACACATATTTTTGGACATGGCCAATATGGGAATCTGTTTTGTATGAACGTGTATACTTTTACAAGAATTTTGATTTTCTTCATTTATTCAGGGTGTGGGAGAGGAAATAGATCTTTATTAATGGAAAAACAAATTAAAATAAAAAAACAAAATTACAAGCAGATATTTATTATATTAAATTGAGTTTTTGATAAGAAAACTTACATACAGTATACCACTCAGAACTGTAGAGAAAGAGAAAGTTCAGTGGAGAACCAGTCAACATCTGCTGAACCCTCTACCCTCTACTCTCCTTCTTGAAGATGTTATTTACTTCTAAGCTACAACTTTCACTTCTACATAAATGGCCTCCAAAATTTATATCTTCTACCCTTAACACTAAGGTTCATGATCCACAGCTCTTGGTGCCTGCTGAAATTTCTATCACCTCAAGCACAAATGTTGAAAATAAAACATCATATTTCCTTAAAAAACAAACAAAAAACCTCTTCCTAACTTGCCTTTTTTCATCAATAGTATCATCATTTTCCAGGCTACCCAGTCTTGAAACCTGGGAGTTAATGCTTGTGTGACACTAAAGGACCCAGGTGATCTGGACATACCCAGACAAGCCCTGTTACACTTGAGATTCAAGGCCCTCTCCACAATATGGTTCCAATATTATATACCCTTTCAATTTTATCTTCCCTTAAAAAAAAAATAAAACTAGAATTGTGATTTGATGTATGGCAAACTCCCAATGAGGAAATGTAGTCTACAAGTGTTGAACTTTGAGCCTCAGGGGATTGGCAGGGGCACCAAAAGGTTGGACTATGTGTAACTCTGGACAATGACTTGTCCAGTGACATAACCAATATATATCAGATATGAGACTTGAACTCAGACCTTCCTGACTCCAAGATCACCAGTTCTCTACCACTATACCACACTGCCTTTCATTTCCTGTAGTAACTTCTCACAAACCCTCAGTTCCTGCTCAACTGGTCTACTTTAGTCTTCTTAGCATTTTGTCTCTGCTGTTAATTTGGCAAATTATTATAAAACTTTTGTATTTTATTCATTTTATATGCATTTATTATCTGTCCCAGCCTTTCCCTTCCCTCCTCGCATTAAACAATTGAAAAATTAAATTAAATTAAATAAACCCCAGTAACAAACTCTAACAAAATAAATGACCACACCGATCATACCCCAAAATGTATGTTTCATTCTACACTTTAAGTCATCTCTCTGGAAGGAGGTAAGTAGTAAATTTTATTTTAGGACAACTGGAATCATGGTTCATATGGATCAGGTTTCCAAAGTCCTTCAATATTGTTTTTCATTATATAGTTCTTGCCATTATATAAATTATTCTCATTTGTTTAAAGAAGTCTTTCCAGTTTCCTCTGAAAATATCCAATTTATCATTCAAATGGCATAATAATATTCATTATAGTCACATATCATTATTTATTTAACCATTCTCCAATAGATGAGTACTCCCTTAGTTTCCAGTTTGGGATTACTATGAAAAGGGCAGCTATAAATAATTTTGTACATATAGCCCTTTTCTTCTTTTGATTTCTTTTGGGTATTGACCTATAAGTATTACTGGATCAAAGGATACATACAGTTTGATGTTACTTTGGGGCATAGTTCCAAATTGCTTTCCAGAATGGTTGGACCACTTCTCATCTCCACCAACAATACATCAACATGTCTGTTTCCCAACCCTGCCCCCCCATATCTGTCTTTTTTTTTTTTTTGGTGAGGCAATTGCAGTTAAGTGACTTGCCCAGGGTCACATAGTGTCATATTCTTCCTTTGGAATTTTGCCAAACTAATGAGTGTAAAGTAGAACCTCAAAATTGTTTTGATTTGCATTTCTCTAATTGTTAATGATTTGAAGCATTTTCCATATAATTACTGATAGCTTGAATTCCTTTGAAAACTGACTATTCATATTCTTTAACCATTTATAAATTGGGAAATGATTCTTAGTCTTAAAAAATTTGAATTAGCTCCTTACAAATCTTTTAAATTAAACCTCTATCAGAGAAACTTGCTGCAAAGCTATTTTCCCAGTTACTTGTTTCCATCCTAATTTTAACTTTATTAATTTTATTTTGGTAAATACCTTTCAATCTTATATAATTACAGCAGTCCATTTTATCATCTGTGATCCTATCTATCCCTTGTTTGGTCATGAATTCTTCCTTTATCCATAGATTTAAAAGATAATTTCTTCCTTGTTACTCTAATTTTTACTATATTCTATTTTTTAAATTGTATTTTTTTAATATGTATGTTGTCTCTCAGACCAGATACTAGTCACGGAGACCTCTTTCCAGCATCAGCTGCTAGAATGGTGACTTACATATGGAAGAAATTTAATAAAAGTCTGTTGCTCTGTTGACATAGGAGGTATCTGAAGCCATAGTAAAAGATGAAACTGCCTAGTTCCAAATTTGTGAGGGATAAAGAAGAGAACAAAGGATGGATTTCTGGGGGAGCCTCACAATAGACTGGCTTATAAGATACAAACTAAAGGCATCAGATTGTAAATAAACATTTTTTTTCTAATTCCATACTTAGCAGAGATTAGAAACAGCAATTTTCTACCTCCCTTATAATTTCACAATACATAAAGGTCAAGCAATGTCATGCCTCCGTACCTCAAAGCTAGAGACATGAGAGACGGCTTTAACTTTGAAGTTAGAGTTAGGACTCAGCTTCTGGCCCTGCTATTTCTGCCAATGTGATCTTAAGGCCCTCTGGGCCTTAATTTCCTCAGGGTTGAATTAGAAGACCTTGAAGATTCCTTCCAGTCTACATCTACGTTACATCTCTGACTTTTCCCCTGAACAACTTTTTCCATTTGTTTAATTCTTTTTATTGCATTTCAAGATGGTACACGTGACACTAAAGAAAATCCTGAGAAGACCAAAAACTAAAGCTGGTGTTCCATTAAGTATAAGGATTCTCCAATCCGAGGAAGGGCAGGAATAGTTCTTCATCAAAAACCCCAATTAAAGCCCATGTCAATTACTCTGTAATCTACTAAATCTAATTTGGATATCTTTATTCCCACAATCCTGTACCTATAGAAATGAATTAAAATTTACTGTAATTAAAACTAAGTTTATTATTATTATCTGAAAGTACTGGTTACAATTAGAATAAGTCCACAAACATTAATCCATACCTATCCCTGAGGTAGGTGTGAAGGAATGGATCCTGTTTACAGCACCAAAATCTAAGGATTGAAAATATCTTAAAGAAGATTGCCCTGTCTCCCAAATGAAAATGTCAGTTGAACTCCTGTCTCCTACAAGAAAAGAATAAAAGTAGTCTGAGGCAAAAATTAGAAAACAAACAGTAAGATTACCCAGGAAAACACATAATAAAGGAATGTCGAATTTAGGAAAGAAAATATAATTAAAGTGGAAATAGGTCATCCTTTCTTTTACACTACAGCAAATTACATATATGGTTAACCACTTAAAATTAACAGATGGTAAACAGGAACACAGAGGTAAAACAATGTTTGACTGTGTTAAAGGAACAGTTGATTTTTCCTTTTGAAAGTATAGTATTAAGTGGAAGAATCACCTTTCAAATTCGGAGAAAATTTCAAAAACTACTTTACTACTTGAAGTCCCTATTCTATATCACTGACACCCATTAACCACAGCGCAATTTACAGATGCATCAGAAGTTGCTTATGGTTACATATCTAAGATTTTATCGTGATAAGTATCATCAGTATAAAACTACCAAGGTCAAGTTTATTTTCAATTCTACCCCAAGGACAAAGCTCAAAAACCTAATAATGGATAAAAAACTTTAAAAATGTGCTTCCAATTCTTTTGTTACTTCACACTATGACAGAGCTTAAGTTATGTATTTCTGTGTCTGTTTCCATCTTCATTCATAATACCACACATCATCCATCTATCTCATAGAAATATTTTTATGGATTAACTAAAAAATTGTCAAGCAATTTTCTCATATAAAGTACCATATGAATACTAGATGACTTCAATAATATCTATACATGCATCTGCTAAGGCTGTATTTTATTACCTAAAAATATTCCTTTGGCAAAAATTAAGTAGATGTCATCTCCTAAAGTCAAAGCCTCCACATGCACTGTCCCAACGATGGACACTTCTTGAAAGTGACTAAACTCATTGCCTGACCATCTGAACAAAATGGAATTTAGTCCAGTGTCAGATGGGGAGACAGCTAGGAACATGGACCCTCCTCTGGAAAACAAAGTCATGCTCAGAACTCCATGAACGGAAAGTTTTTGATGCAGCACGAAGCTTCCACTAATCCATCTGAAGACCTGTAGGAGATGTTCAAAAGCAAAGTCATCTTATACTGGGACCTTAGAGTTTTTGAGAACATAATATATCAAAAAGTGCTTCTCTGAGGGCTCCTTTTATTTCACCTGAAGCTCAAGAACAATTTCATAAGTCAAACACATTTTTTTTTCAAAAATGAGAGGAAATAAACTCTTAGGCAAGGAGAAAAATGAGCCTCAGATGGGTACTGATAAAAAATTGCTTTCTTTTCCTGTTTGTTTAGTGGGCTATTTGGAACTGAATCAATTCCTAAAAATAGTTAGACCCACCGAATCTTACTGTTCACAGCAACCTTATTTTTATGTGAATTTTTTTAAAAAAGTGAATTAAGGCACTGAAAAGAAATCTCATTATGACTAATAGCAATTGGTAATATAATATTATAGCCCATTACAGGAAACAATAAGATGCAAGAAAATACCCAGTCTTCTCTGAGAAGGAGTCATCCAGGCTCAAATCTGATCTAAATAATGACAGTACATGTAGTCTCTGGGGAAAGGAAGGCTGCCAATGCTTGTCTTAAGCATGAACAGTGACCCAGTCTATTTAATTTCCCAAATATTCACTTTCCGGAAAAACTGAATAAATTAATTTTATAAAAGAAACAGAACATTTAATCAGTCTGTAATAAATCAATGACTAAGTTCCATTTTCTTATTTGCCATTTAAGTATGACTATGCTTTAATCCTGAGCTCTAAGCTATAGTACTAAAAAAAATCTAGATTTTTTTTTTCAAACATAAAAAAAAGATCAAACCTGAGTCAATTCAGAATCGTCCCTCTGACTTGCAACAATCAAATAATGTTGATTGGTTGAAGTAAAATGTTTTACTTGACTACTTTCTGGAACTATAATTGTCTGTTCCTATAAGGAAGGCATAACAATACAATTAAAATTAAGAAAAACAGAACTGAGTTATGAAAAGCATGATCAACATTACTAGTTAATTTTTCAAGTAACACAACTTAGGGAATTGTGAGTTCTAGGTTTACATTTGTTTCTTATAGATATTTGAAGGAAGACATGAAAAGTATTGTCCTGAATTACAAATCTATGATTCTATGATGCTAACTAAAGAAATATATGACAAATTGCTTAGAAAGATACATCTCTAAGGGGGTGGGAGGAGGGGAAAGCAGGGGGGGAAAATGAGAAGATTCCCATGATCAATTTGATGAACTCTCCCAATCATCTTGATGAGCTCACAGGATGTGAGACTTTGTCTGGGTTCAGGTAAGCTCCATCCCCTAAAGAGTGTGCACTTGGGGCAGCTAGGTGGCGCAGTGGATAGAGCTCTGACCTTGGAGTCAGGAGGACCTGAGTTCAAATCCAGCCTCAGACACTTGACACTTACTAGCTGTGTGACCTTGGGCAAGTCACTTAACCCCAATTGTTTCACCAAAAAGCAAAAAAATAAATAAAAAATAAAAAGGCCTACTGGTCTTTAAAAAAAAGAGAGAGTATGCGCTTGTAGGAGAACGTGGGCTCCGATAAACAGAAGTATGCATAGAATGATTTTACGTGTACATACACACACATACATATTAGTGTCTAATGTTAGCTATTTCTAGAGTGGGGAGGAGAAAAAGGGAAAAAGAAAATTACATGATAACTTTGTTACATATTTAAAAGAAATAGCAAGCTGTATATAATAGATGTGCAGTTTCATGAGCAATTATCTTTTTTTATTCCACTTTTATGAAAATGCTTGTTTTATTTCTTAAGTTCAGAATAAAATAAAATTCAAAAAAAAGGAAAGAGGATAGCTCCTGAATGGTTATCAGAGCCTATGGTCTTCACTAAGCTGACTCAAGAGGCTGGACTCCTGTTAGAGGATCTACCCTTTGAAATAACCTACAGAAGTTAGACAATCATACTGTTCAGCTCTTTTTTCCTTTTTTTTTTTAAGCTTTTCCCTAGATTACATTACAACAGAGTAAGTCTGTGTTTTGGAAGGGAGATTTCAGTTTCTTACGAAATATGATCACCAAATCAAGTCTTTTAGCCAGAAAAAGAAAATGTAATTTCCAGAGCAACTTCGCCCAAGAGTAAACCCAACTTTAAGAGGGAAGACTTAGCCTTTAAAAGAGAATGAGAGAGGGACAGCTAGGTGGCATAGTGGACAGAGCTCCAGCCCTGGAGGCAGGAGGACCTGAGTTCAACTCTGGCCTCAGACACTTGACACTTAATAGCTATGTGACCCTGCGCAAGTCACTTAACCCCCTCACCAAAAAACAAACAAACAAACAAACAAACAAAAAAAGAGGCTTGAGATTTTCTTTGGGGGCAGCTAGGTGGCGCAGTGGATAGAGCACCAACCCTGGATTCAGGAGGACCTGAATTCAAATCCAGCCTCAGACACATAACACTTATTAGCTGTGTGACCCTGGGCAAGTCACTTAACCCCACTGTCTAGCCCCCCCCAAAAAAAAAAGATCACCAATGTAGCTCCTGCATCTGGAAGAGCCACAAAGCCACAAAAATTAAAGCCACATCATGATGCAACAAGAAGTTAGAAGTTTGCCAACTTTAACTATTACAATGAGTAACTAAGACCATTTTGATGGAAAAGAAAATTGCTGTCTAGGAGCTTCAAAGGATGTGATGTTTCCCTTCTGCGGGAGTCTGAGACCTCAGAGTAGTATCACAAGGCCATAATGGGTCTCTGGAGAAGTGAAAAAGAATGACTCGCCAGACTGTCAGAGTGCTGCTTGTTTAGCAACCCCAACATCTATTTTGCTTCCTGGGAGACAAACCACAGGTGAAACTATGAATTTTGGAGGGACTGTGTAGGACCTATTGGGAAATCTAAAGATCCACCAGAAAGTCAATGTGTTATCCCTGTGGCACACCCAAATTCAGTTCCTTCCAAAAGGAACAACTCTGAATGTTCTGTTTTATACTCATTTATAGGCTACTGTGAGTCCTCTGAGTAACTTTTGTGTTTCTATAGTCACTTACGGACTCCTATGCTGCCTTTGAAGCTTCTAAGCGGTGAGAGCAAGCCTGTCCTCTCTATCCATATGTACCTCGCATACTTGCACAGGAACTAGGGGAGCTTAGCATTTGTGACACCCATTATCTTAGGGGGTCCTGGACCATAAGTTACACACCTCATAAGAGAAGGTTTCTTTCCAACTAAAGTTAGAGTATATATGGTCTGATACTTCAACAAAATTATAAAAATGTATGAGAAGTGTTAAGAAATGTTATATGCAAAAATATTTTTTTTTTACCAGGAATAATTTGAACTCAGATGTGATAGTATATATGCTGTTCTTAGAAGGTTTCTCTCCATCTTTTTCTCCATGAGTGATCACAACATAGGGGGAACCATTGATATAAAATGTCTCACAGCTTTTAGGATTTTGTATATTAATATCCTAAGAAGTAAGCAATAAGAAAAATAGTGAGAAATGTACAAATACATGTTAGCTAATTTATCTAAAAGTAAAAGAATCAAGATTTACCTCAACTGGAATAAAAATTCCTTGCCATCGGTAGAGAGAAGAAAATTGGTGGGAGGATATTCTTAACATTATACCATATACTGATTCTCCTAATTTAAAGAAACACCAGCTAGAGGCTGGATCGAAACTTTGAAAGACAGATAGTACACTATTCATTCCCCCTGAAACAAAGGGAAAAAATATTTATGACTAGAAAAATCTTTGGCATTTTAAAATATTTCCTAACTTTAAAACAAGATACTTTTGGATTTGGAGGTAAATGAGTGACTATATTTCCGAGATTACTATTAGTTCAGTTGTAGATTTTGCCCAGGTCAAAAAAAATTAAATTAAAAGTATTCCTAACAATTAATTTCAAATTCTAACATTTAAAAAAGTTGTCCTTTTAAGGAAGTTATTTGACAGGGCAATCTACCCCCATACTTCTAAATAACAAACCAAAAAACCCACGAAACACCAAGTTTGAATCATAAAATCTTACATATGAATAACTGCATATGAATTGCCTATGAAAAACTGATGAAGATATACTAAATACCCTAAAATTGCCATCATCCAATTGTACACATAAATAAGAAAAAATCTTTAAAATTATCTGTACGTATCAATATGACATATGGAGTATTAATAAAAACAAAACAGCCAACCAATCTATATGTATATGTGCATTCTCTGCCATGGGAATACAGTTGAATTTTAATAATTTAAATGTCTGTATGATGTAACTTCATATACATGTGTGCATATTGTATGTATATATTTTTAATAAAGTTATGGTTATTTCATTTTTGTCATATTAAGTGCCCTGAACATAGTAAGTAATTAAAAATGCTTGTTGAATCAAAAAAAAGAAGAAAATAAAAGAAAGAAAATAAATGATTAAAAGACCTCTTAAAAAGGCACATACCATTATGCAGAATGTTTTAGGTATCATTTCAGGAAATAAGGACTATGCTGTTCATACCATAACAGTATGTTCAGCTCACTATTGTAACATACTAAAAAAATATCTAAAACAGTATCTAACAGGCATTATAAGAGCCTTATCTTCTTTAACTGGCCCTAACAGTCAGAGTTTTCATCTAAAAACTTGATCTATCCAGAAAAATTCTACAGTGTACAAGAGAGAACTCTATTGAATGATATTTGAAATTTTCAATATTTCTCAATTATTATATTTATTTTACAATTAAAAGTAAATGACCATCAGATTTTGACTTTTCTAATGAAATTGAGTAAAAAGAAGTTGGAAATTTTCACATTACAGACCCTCTACGATCAGAGATGCCCATGGAAAAGATACTAATCATATCAATTAGGAGACAGTAAGCAATAAACCACATAAATATTGAAACTAAACTTTATTTGTAGATCAGTAGCTATGCTGACTATGCCTACTTTATCAAGCATCTATACTCTTAAAAGCCCTTAACACTTTCCCTTTCTTAAAAATTAACTTGTAAAGTCCTCATCTTCACACAAAATTAGACATTCTGGAAGTCTGCAATTGTTTTTTTCATAAAAAGGCTGAATGGTCTTGCCTAGGCAGAAAAGAAGGGAATATATCTATGATTAAAGAATACAGCTGATTCTTAAATTTAAATGTCTTCAGATAAAGTAGAGTTATATTTTATATTGGTATTTAGTGTATAAAATTGGCAAGCATGGCAAACACCATGTACAAGCAATATCATCCTTAAAAATCCCATAAAAACTACCCAGAGTGTAATATATTATCTTTAAACAATTGTAATGTACTAGGGTTTTTTTTAAAAGGCAGTATTCTGTATCTGAGAATTCAAGGACATTAAATGCTTGTTTTAGAAAAAATTGAATGAAAATTTTATTTTTTTTAATAGCACATAGAAAAGGAGAGAAACAGGGTACTAGGACTTCTATTCAAAAAGAAGAAAATAAAAACAGGTAAAAAGTTGGCCATCTGGAAGACTGACAATTAGAAGGAAAAATACTTTTGAAAGTGATTGACCCAAAAGTGTAATTATTTTACACATAATCTTCTTCCTGCTTCACCCAGAGATAACAGAGGACAGAAGGAATTCAAAGGGAACACAGCAGAGGACTTCTTACTAACTAGAAAGAGCTAGGAAGTTTTATGGCTTTTCCTTTCATTAGCTTTCCCAGACCATGCAGAATAAAAAGATTTGTAGTGTGATGAAAAGGAGATTTCTAGAATCACCCTGCACAGGAAAAATATTCACACTGAGGCAATAGTAGACTCAGGTCTCTCATTTCCTACTCAATTGGGGCAACTTCTCATAAAATAGACATATACTTCTCTCTGTCTCTCATTTCCTCCATCCTTCCCTCCCTCCCTCTTTATCTCTCTGCTTCTGTCTCATTCAATCTCTGTCCCTCCCTCTCCTCCTCTTTGGTCTACATGTGCATATTTGAATTCTCAAAAGTTAAGTTTCGTGAAGCTATTGCAATGCTTTCTAAAAGAAAATGAGTCCTGGAAATCCAAGACTGTGAAAAGCAATAGGAAGAACTCCAAAGTAGAAATTATTTTGTACAATAAACATTTTAAGCTACTTTATTAATTGTTTTTTCTCAAATTTCAACATAATGATAAAGTTGAAGCAAAAAAAAAATATTTGACAGGCCTTTGGGAGCTCTGAGGTTTTGTTTTCATAAGGAACTGAACTTACTCATGCCAAAGGCAGTTTCAGACACTGTCTCCCACTCCACACTCACAGTTAAATTAAGCCCATTACTCCGGGACACATTTAAATAAACAGTCCTGTTGGTTTCTTCAATGGTGATAGCTGTGGCTCTAAAAGCAATAAGCAGAATTACAGACAGTGAAGTAACAACTTCATTTTCATATCCAATTCATACTCAATCACTATTCCACAGGTGTGGAATAAATAATGAAGCATAACTGATGGTAAGCAAATGCTCTTTTAGGGAAGCATACTATTACTTGAATATCTATAAAATCGGTACCATGAACTGCACACTCCAATAACGTAATAGAGGCTCATTCGGGTAGTAGAGACCTAGTCTTGGACTGAGGAAGACTTCAAGTAAGGAAGACCTTCCTTCAAGCTCTGCCTCTGACACATACTGGCTGTCTGACCCTAGCTAGACACTTGAATTGACAGAGGGAGTTTCCTTATTGGGAGTCCCTATATCAATGAAATAATGGATCAGGATCACCTTCCCTACACCTACAAAAGAACTCAATAAATATGAATGAATTATGGTATAAAAAAATAATGCTAAGATGTTTTCATGACATAAGGACAAGACTGAAAATAAATCAGTGACTACATTTATCTAAAGCAAAGGAAGTATATCTTATTTAAGTAGTATGCCTCTCAACAATTATCACAATGTCCTGCATAGAGAAGATGCATGATAATGTTTATTGAATTTACTGAATTATATAAAATAATATAAGCAAGCTGAAAAATGTTAAAGACTAGATCTATAATGAGTCAGTGGATGTGGTATAAAGAATCCTGAACCTAAAGTCAGGAGACTAGACTTAAGTCTGAATTTGTCACTTTCTAGCCATGGGACTTTGGGAATAACAAAGATTCAGTTTTGTCCTGGAGATAATAATAACTTATATTACATACATAACCACATTGCATAATGGAGAGAGAGGTGGCCTTGGAAATAGTGAGATGAGTTCATCTCTTCTATATAATGGCTGCATGACCCTGTTGGCACTTAACATCTCAGGGCTGTAGACAACTCTCTAAGACTAAAAGCTATGGAGAAGGTGACAACTTGCATCAATAGAGATAGTTTCCTTATTGCCAATGAAATCACAGATCTAATCTCTACCCATCCTTACAGTGAAAATTAAATGAGAAAGCACTTCATAAACTGCAAAGTGTTATATAAAATACTATATAAATATAAGACGTTACTAATGAAACAGCTTATTTTCAAGAAATCAAATGCAGAAAAACTCAACAGCCAATGGAAGTGTTTAAAATATATTAAATACGTAACTAAACTATTCAGATTTGGCTAAATAGTTGTCTCAATCTTTTATTATATTTTCTCAATATTGTAAAATACTAAAAGGTCATATTTTTAGTGAAAACATAAGAATTGCATTAATATCATTAGTACCGAATGTCTTCGGGTTACTAATATCTTGTGCTCTCAGAGAAATTGCCATTCTGCATTTTCTTCACTTCAGGGGAATACTTCCTATTGAATATCAGAAGCTATAGTCTTCATATTAATAAACTATACCTATTTTCAACTGCCCAAATACTGAACAGACCCAGTGGAGCTTGGTTCTGCAAAACAGTTATAAGAGTTTGAATAGGTGTCCCTAGTCTCGCTCCTCCAGTTGGGTCGAACAAGGTACAAACAAAATGTTCATCCATCTCTGGTTCCGCATCTAATATGGCAGATATGTGGAGCGTCTGCAAATAAATCAGGAAGACGAAGTCATTAACATACAACTCCAACACAGCATACACAAAGAGGTGAGACATAAATTTTTGACAACAAAATAATCCAGTCCATGGAGTGTCTTATTATTTTTTTAGATTCTCATAATGTGGTAGCACATTTATGTAGCTGAAAGTTTTTATTGTCAGAATTTCTCAGTTCTTCCATGTAGTTAAGTGACAACGAAATACAGCTAGCTGTTTCTTGTTCTTAAAAGATCAGGTCAAAGTCCCAAAACTATAATTATCTCTTCATGGCAGTCATCACAATTTGACTTGTAATTTAGAGCACATCATGAAGCCAACTCCATCCCAACTTTATTCTTGAATATGCCTCATGGTGTCAAGGTGACCCTGGAAAGGAGGTCAGAAGAACAGAAGCTCTGGAACATTCTACCAATATATCATGGTCACTTGATTATGAATTATTTGACCATGGCAGCTCACGAAACAAAGCCACATATAAACTAGCCTTATGTGGCTTCCTTTTCATTTCTGAAATAATAGTGGCAGATCAGTGGGAAAATGGAGCAGAGTATTACTGAAAACATAAAGGTCCTCCTTGGGGAAGAAAATAAAGTCAGTGACAGAGCTGTTTTTCATCATGTACCTAAAAGCAACAAGAAGCACCCCTCATGAAACTCTTGTTCTCTCACCTTGCACAGGGATGAGCACAAGAAAAAGGCCACCATGAATATAATGGCAGTTTATATGCCAACATTTGCTACACAAGGTAAAGTGGAGGAATTTACCTCAACAAGGTCCAAAACCAAGTCAACACATAAAGCCACTTGGTAACTTCACAGTCACAGTGGAAATTGAAAAGAATGATGGAAAATATTGGGAAAATGTTCAGGATAAAGAAACAAAAGAGACCAGATTCTTATAGACTATTCTATCAGAGAAGCAGCTTTAAGTTACAGGAAGACCTGAGTTCAAATGCCACTTCAGAATGTGTGACCTTGGACAAGTCACTTAACTGAGGCAGATTTACCTCAATTTCCTCATCTATAAAGTGGGAAAAATAATAGCTAATAATAGTACTTATCTCTCAGAGTTGTTGTGAGGATCAAATGAGATAATTGTAAAGTGTTTAGCATGGTTCCTGGTACATAGTGCTATATTTATAAAGTGTTTTGTAAAATCTTAATATACTATATATACTAGTTATTATTATTTTTTTATTTTCATTATTATTCAGTAGCCACATGCCTATATATTATGAACACCTTCTAAAGGAAGGGTGTTGTAAGATACAAGACATGGATAACACCATATAGGTGCATCTGTGAATAGGTTATGATGCAATTTCAGTGAGAAAACATCATAAAACATTTCATTCAAATTCTTCCCATCATTTTCCAAGCAGCTACTGTTGTGCACATACAAGATATTGACTCTGATAAACATTCCAAAACAAGTCATATTCCACTTAACTGGAGTCTTGCCAAAGATGCATGGTTAACTAAGACATCATGGTAGGGGTAGGTAGTTTGGTTTCAAAATGATATGATATATAAAATGATATATAAAACAGTGTGTGAAGATGTAGGATGTCTAGGTACAGTAGCCTAAGTCTCTAAAACAAAAACATAACCTACTGTATTATTTAAATAATCTCCCTCATTGGACAGTTTATATTTACAAGTAGGTAGAAACAGGAAAATATTTGAATACAATAAATGTGGTCTCTTTATTTAAATGTTGACAGTTTATAACTCATCTTATTTTCAACAAGACTTTAGGCAGTTATTAAAAATGGTATTTTATTTTTTGCTATCTGCAAATATCCTACCTTAAATCGAACTCCTTCTTCCAAAACAACATATCCTTTTGAAGGTGTCAGATCTCCAGACAGTTTTGAAGAATTTACTTCAGTTACAACAAATTGGACGGTCACTGATCCAAACAGTCCTTGGGCAGGTTCTCGAACAATGTATAACACTGCAACACTTTCCTGGATATAAAGGGCTGTTGGTTCTCTTAGGAAAAATTGTTCACTATTGTTAAAGGACAGAACTCCAGGGCCATCATCATTGGCAAGTATGGTAATTAAAGCTGTCAAAATGAAAACAATAAAATGTATGAAATCAATATATGGAAAGCTCTAAACGCTGAGCACTTAGAGGCCACTCAGTGAATACTTGTTAAATTGAAATAAACACTTCTTTTCCTAATGAAGGAAACAGAGGGAGAAGTAGAGAAGGGAAGAAAGGGAAGAGAAAGGAGTAAAAAGGAGAGGAGAGGGAAGAAGAGAATGAAGAGAATGAATGAAAAAAAGTATTTATTAAGTGCTTACTATGTACAAAGATGTGGACTAAGCACTAGGGATAAAAATAAAAAAGATGAAAAGGCCCAGTGTTCCTTAGGGTACTGTAGCAAAGCAAATGATAATGTATCTTCTTTAGAGTCATTTCCTATGATAAAAACTGTTATCTATTTCTGATTTTGAGCCATTTGACAGTGTCAAGGACTTTGGTGGTTAGAACCAAAGAGAGGAAGAAAGAGAAGGGGGTAGGGGTGAAGGGAGGAAGACAGTGAGGGAAGACAAGGGGAGGGAAAGGATATAAAGGAGAAAAGTGTACAATAAATAATCTAGTATAAACACAATGAAGAATACTTAAAGTGAGAACAGTGAAAAGAGGTGGAATGAGTTAACAAGAAAGACTACATACCAAACTTTTGGGAAATCTTCATAAGTAAGTTAGACTGTCATCTATGCGGTCCCACAAAGGCCTAAAGGACTGTACTGCCTAGCCTAGAAACCCAGAACGTCAGAGGCAGAAGAGCAGAAGAGACTACAGATATAACCTAGCCTAACCTCCTTGTCTTGCAGATGGAGGGCACTGGTCATTAAGTGGTTGCCTTAAACTACAGAGCCCAGAACTTGAACACAGCCAGATTCCAAGTCCAACAGTCATTCCATACATCACTTCAGGCCTATGCTTCTGCCTTCCACTGATAAAGTACATCAGAAAACAAGAAAGAAACTCTCTAGAGAGAGAATAAGAATGACATAATCCACTTCTTGGGCAGCTAGGCGGTACAGAGCACCTGGCCTGTGGTCGGAAGACTCTTCCTCCCAAGTTCAAATTTGGCCTCGGACACTTATTAGCTACGTGACCCTGGGCAAGTCACTTAATCCTGTTTGCTTCAGTTTCCTCATCTATAAAAGGAGCTGGAGAAGCAAATGGCAAGAAAACCCAATTGGGGTCATGAAGAACTGGACAAGACTGAAAAACAACTAAACAACAATAACAATCCACTATTTTTTTTTTAAAGAATAGTAATACTGAGCATTTATGTAGCATTTTAAGGTTTGTGAAGTTCTTTACAACTATTATCTCATTTGATCCTTACAGTACTTAATCCACTGTGCAACTAGATAGTTGCCCCCAAATATTTTTATTTAGACATTAGCCACTTAACTGAAAACTAACAAAGTGTCCTATCCATGGTATTACCGATGTGTAGAATCTTAAGATAAGAAAGTTAAAAAACAAAGGGGGTCAAGAAGATGAAGGAACTGTATGTATGTGTATATACACACATATATGTGTGTAAGTATGTATGTATGTATGTGTGTGTTTTTCCTCCTCCTATATATTACGTGGCTCTCCCATCCCCCATCTTACTCATCCCAATAATTTTTAAAAAGGCATTTTTCTCTGCATAATTTCCCTGAAAAATTTTTTTCCAGCTTTGAAATAGCCATTTTAAAACCAGAAGCAATAATACATGAAAAGCAAAAAATCATGTTACTTAAAATTCTTTGCATTTTTCACTCTACCTGAAGACTCTTTTTACATAAAGCCATATGCATTTTGTATGTGTATTATGAGAAAAGAGAAGGTAAAGGGTTAAATGAAAGGACCAACAAGGAACCCAAAGGTGCTAGCTAGAGTACTGGCCTCCCATACAACTTCTTCATTTGCGCTTTTCTTTACCAACTTCTTACCTTCCCACAAGTAAGGAAACAATAATGGTTCTCAATATTTTTTAGCTCACAGTTATGCCATGAGGAATCATGGCGTACTGAATGTCTCAGGGTGACAACACTATAGGAGTTTCATACATGGGTAGTTTTATGTGAGTTCAAAGTCTGATGTGTTTTAAAGTTAGCATCTGGGTCATAGTCAAGTTTTGTTTATTCTGCAAATAAAATATTTATCATTCTATGTATGCTATATAAATAAGAGCAAATATGATTATGTTTACAAATGTTTTTTATTTGCAATAACACAACAGCCAAAATTTTAGGGTAACCTCTCAGCACCATGCCACGTCTTTGGAAAAACATTAGCATAGAGCCTGGCCAACAGTAAACTAATGGTTATATTTGCTGTTTTTATTCATTGTATTTAACTGTCTTGTATCTATCACGTGCTGAGTTTTACTGCATCTTTGAACACATGTTGACTTGTTTCAGTGGTAAGCATTATGCAGTCTTTGAAACAATCTTCCTATAGATTGCCAAAGATTTTGGGTTATATGGCTAATTCTACTGTGCTGTTAAAAATGTTTTTCTTGTATAAAACATTAACCAAAATAAAAGTTAAATATCTGTTGCCACTCAATAGATTCAAACAGAGGATGAAGTGAAATATAATGACTTGGGTATTTGTTCAAGATTCCATTGCACTTTCAACCCTATAATATAGCTAAGAAGATGATACTGAAGTAAGCTGCTAGTTGTTTTTCCCCCAGACTAAGCACTTATCAATGGAAATGACATTAAAGACATTCATTATCAACTGCTTTGCCACTGCACCTTAAGGACATCTAGGCTTTTCCATCTGACTTACAGCCCAAACCTAGTAGATGCATTCCCTTCCCTGTTAGCACGGAAGCTCCCAGACAGAAAGAACTGTCTTGTTTTTCTATTTGGATCCCCAGTGTTTTATATACAGTAAGCTCTTAGTAAATATTCATTCATTCAAACAACTAACATCATAAATGAAACTTGAAAGTAAGGGAAATTCTAAATGTAATCACTACTTTTTAATCATTTTTGAATTTTTTCTACTCTTCTCTCCCTATTCCTATCAAGTACAATTAGCACACAAACAATGATACAAGCACAAGAGTGTACATTTTCCATTATTATGCAATACTTAAGCACTTTTCACTCTAGACAAGAGTACAAAAGCAAACCAAATCCGCTGGTATTGCCTAATCTTTCTCACCACTCTAGCTTACTTTGACTTAGAGTAATTTAAAAAATTAGAGAAGAAATGAAGGGAAACTGTGAGAAAATATGATTTCGTCACCTGTTGTATTTTCCCCCAGCTCAAGTCCAGGAGAGGGATTAGTTAAAATCACCAGAAAATTCTCATCTCCTTCAGGAAATTCATCATCAAGAATTGTGATCTCAACGTTTTTATGCCTTTCTCCATCAGCAAAATGAAGAATCTGGTCACAAAAATACAGGCAGTATTAAAATGAAAAGAACCAATATTTAATATACAATGCTTGTTTAGAAAAAAACATAGTATGATGGCTTGCAGTGGTACCCTGAGGTTCACTTCATGATTCTGGCACTTCATGGCAAGGTCTTATGCTACACCTAATATCTGGTTCAGATCAAGTCTTCTTTTTAAGACATAGCATCCTACCATACCCTTACCTCCTGTAGTCTGCAAATAATTTCTTTGGTCAAATCCTGATTTCAAATCCAACCTCAGACACATACTAGCTATGTGATCCTGATTAAGTCACTTAAGTGCTCTTTGCCTCAGTTTACTCATCTGTAAAATTGGAGTAATAATAGCACCTACCTCCCAGGGCTGTTTTGAAGATCAAATGAGATATTATTTTTTAAATGCTTAAAATCCTTAAAAGTGCTATATAAAATGCTAGTTATTATTATTATTGTCAATATTTTTAAACTGAACTTCAAAAACAGTATAATTGAGAAAGGTATAACCAACTTTTGATAATAAGCTTGCTTTACTGAGATTACCATCTCTTGTTATAAATTTTATTTTAATATTAATTTTAATATCACATCTTGGTTGAAAGCATTTATGTAACACATTTCTTACAAGTTCACATGAAAATATTGCACTAAAATTATCTGTTGAAAAAAATAGAACCTTTACACTTTTTCTTTTTTTCTCTGATTCAGCAGCTACTCAGTGTGGTTCAAGGTATTAAAATGATAAATAGAATGCTATGCCTGACCTCATGCAATTTACAATCTAACAGAGCTTATAGAATGTGCACCTAGATCAATACAATACAAAGTCGAGTTTGTTAAGTACATAAGAAGTACAATGTACTATGAAATCAGATGGGTCCTTGATAAATAAATTGGGATGGTCACTGATGATGTTATCTGCTTAGAGAAGACCACAGAGAATAGCATCAGTTACCCTCAAAAACATCCAGTTCGTTTGGTAGCCTCTGCAGACTAAGCCCAAAATGTGAGCAGAAGTAGAGATTCAACTAGTGTAGAAACTCCAAGGTTAATGTCATTTCATGGGTAAATTACTTCATTCATATAGCGGGTTATACTTCATTCATATAGCGGGTTATAGTTAAGAGGTCCAGAAAAATGAAGATGGGAGGACCTACTTGGGAAGTTTAGGCAAGAATTAACAGATTGAGAAAGCCTCAAAGATGCTGTGGAAAGATCTTTTCTTCTTTCTGTGACCTCTTTGGGGTATAGACCTAGTAGTGGTACTGCTGGATCAAAGGGCATGAACAATTTAGTAATGTCAGGGAGATAATTTCAAATTGTTTCTCAAAATGGCAGGACCAGTTTATAACTCCTTCAACAGTACATCAATGTGCCTGTTTTACTGCAAACTCTACAATAGTTGTCATTATCTTTTGTTTTTTGGTCAGTTTTGCCTATCTAAAGGTAGAAGAGAAGGACATTTTAAAAAAATCTACTTTAGAATTTAAAACCCTCAGGCACTTTAAAAAAAATAAAGCATGATTAATTTTTGGTAAAAATTTCATATTCCTTGAAAATAAGGATGTGTTTCTTCCTATCATTTTCTGAAGTCACAAATATCACAACTCTCACTGTGTCTTCCTCTCTACTAAAATGAACACTTGCTATAGTTCAGGGCCTCAATAATACTCACCCGACTAATGTGATATAGCTTTCTAACTAGACTCCTTGTCTCTAGTGTCTTCCCTCTCAAATCCATTCTTTACTCATAATCTTTTAATGCAAAGGTCTGAAAATGTCACTCCTATGACCCTCCCAATTTTCAACTACTCTCTAGTACTTTAAGGATAAAATATACTCTCCCTAACCATGTTTAGGGCCGCCTTTAATGTGATTCAAAACCACCTCTCCAGTGTTATTTCACACTACTTCTGTTTGTATATTCCTATAGTTCAGTCAACATTCCCCAGTTTTACCCAATAGTGTCCTGCATCCGTGCACTGACACAGGACTCTAAGGCTAGCTAGTCCAGCCCACACAGAGGGTTATAATCAGTCTTTTGCCTGCCGACTTCTAACGAAGGGAAACCTACTATCTCTACGTGCAGCCAATTCCATTTTTGTATAACTCTGAGTATTAGGAGAGTTTTCCTTACATACAGTAAAGACCTACCTTTCTGGAGCTTCTACCCATCACTCTAGTCTTATTGGGCTATAAGCTCCCTACAGCTCATACCACAGGGAACCTTTGTTTAAGGAGAAAAATCTACTCACGTGTACTGAGTGTGGTGGTGAAATGGAAACGCTGGAGATATGTATGGGAGGGGGAAAGGGAAGAGGTCAAAGAATTCAGATGATGTTCTTCACTGTAGCACTGCATCTTATCATGTAAAAGCAGTTTTTTAATTGATAAGTAAATTGAGCTTAGGATAAACAGAATATAATAACCAGATACAAAACAAAACTTTTAAAAAATAGAATTGTAGGGGTAGCTAGGTGGTGCAGTGAATAGAGCACTAGCCCTGGAGTCAGGAGGACCTAAGTTCAAATCTGGCCTGAGACACGTAACACTTACTAGCTGTGTGACTCTGGGCAAGTCACTTAACCCCAATTGTTTCACCAAAAAAAGAAAAAAATAGAATTGTATTGAGCTCATTGTGTAAGCCCAATTATGAGTCCCATTAAAATTATATTATTAATTAAACAATATTAATTATAATTAATTAGTGATTAATCATATTAATATTCAAATTTGACTGAGTTGCATACAGATTTTCCATCTCCCTTAGGCTTACACTGTCAAGGCCTAAGTATAATCTTCAAAAGTAAACCATGAATGACCTTGATTCCTACCGTTGCAGTAAAGTAAAAATCCATCCCTTGCTGTGCTTCCAAATTCTGTGCATACACAAACAAGGACACATGGCCAAGTGACCCTCCACCCCTGTGAGCCACCAATGTTAAACTTCCTTGTGATTCATGTACTTCAAACCTAAAACAAAAATAAGAAAACATCCACTTTCTTTCAAGTGTGCTGTTGGTGGTAAAGTTGAGAAGCTAATTTGTTTTATAAAATCACATATATTTACAAAATAAACTCATATAATTGCTTTAATTCAGTTACAGGAAACTACCTGGTATTATGCCACTCAATCTTTCCTCTGGCTCCATCATTGGCATCAATAATAATTTGTGCCGTTAAGCCTTCTGAATCTAAAAAGCAAAACAAATACTAGTGGTAGTGATGATGATGATGATGATGATGATGATTTTTATTACTGTTGGTCAGTTATTTCAGTTATGTCCAACTCTCTGTGATTCTATTTGGGGTTTTCTTGGCAAAGTTACTGGAGTGGTTTGCCATTTCCTTCTCCAGCTTATTTTACAGATGAGGAAACTGAGCCAAAGAGGACTTAAATGACTTATTCAGGATCACATATCCAGTATGTGTCTGAGGTTGGATTTGAACTGAGAGAAAGAACTAACTTCTGGCCCAGCATTCTATCCTCTGCACCACCTAGCTGCTCCAGGGATAATAATAATAACTAACATTTACATTGTTCTTTATAAAAGTTTATAAATCTCATTTAATCCTCACAGCAACCTTGTCAGATAGATACTATTATTACCCCATTTTACAAATTAAGAAATTTAAGGTGAGTGACTTTCCCAGGATCACAAAAATAAATTTAAAGGTGGGATTCAAACTCAAACCTTCCTGATTCTAAGTCTAATGTTTTATCCATCTCACAACAAATCCATTTTTATTCATTATGCTTGGACAATACAAGATTCTGATTTCTACAGCCTCAAGGTGATACACAAAATTAGATAGTTGTTTCAAGCAGACTATGTAGAACTCAAGATACACATACTGACATCTGTCGGCATGGTGGCATGGGAAGCACACTGGATCTGGAATTTGAATCCCAATCCTGAAAACTGTGTGACGTTAGGGAAGACACTGAGGCATGGAGGAAGGAGCACTGACTTGAGAATCAGAGGACGTAGGGTAAAATCCTGCCTCTGCTGCTTACTACCTATATGACCTTAGACAAATCACTTAATTTGACTGAGTCTCATTTAATTTGACTGGGCCTCAGTTTCCTCTTTTATAAAACAAGGAGGTTGTAATAGATTGCCCTTCTAGCTTCACTATACTCTTTCTGGGCTTTCCATTTCCTCATCTATGAAATGAGGACTCTGGACTAAATCAGCTTTAAGGTCACTTTCAGTTCTAAGTGCTACAATTCCATGAAAAATTAAGAGCACAATGTATATAATAATGAAGAGTTGGGGAGCCTTTATTTTTTCTATGAAAATTTAAGAACCACATGGAAGAATAAAAGCAATACTGTTTAGTTTGATTTGATGTTTTGTCTTATTTTGTTCAGTGAAAAAGATTAAAAAAAGAAACTCATCTGACTTTTCAACTAAGAATAGGTAATACAACTCTGTTTTATGAAATATAATATTTTTAAACATACAGTAATTTTAAATGTTACTAAGAATCAAGGAATATAAAAATCCACTTAAAAGCTAAAATTGATGTCATACTGGCAATGTGCTAACATTTATTTATTTTATTTATAGGAGATTTATAGGAGAATCTCTCTCTCAGAGCCTCTTAACTCTAACTTTACCCATCACACTTCCAACATGCTTAGTTATCTAGCTTCCAAACCCATGGGAAGATTACAAACAGGAAATTACAAAGGCAGAATGCCAGAAAAGAATGTGAAAGGAGGAAATAAGAAAACTCCAAAAAGCATATACATGAACATGAAAAGCATAGTAATCTGAATCCATCCAATATGGGGATGAACAACACTATACTGACAGGTCCTGACTATAGGTTGCATTCTATTAAGCAACAGATACACTCTATGATCTTCATAATAATAATTTTTAATCTTTAGTTTACTTTGATAAAGAAGGAAGCGAGATATATAACACATTTCAGGAACATCCACTCCCATATGGTTAAAATGCCATTTTCATTCATAATTGGATAGAAATGCAAGTGTTGGGAAAATTTGGCTATCCAGAACAATTCATTCCCCAAAGGTTTCTAATTGTTAAGATTTAATTGTAATTTATATCACTGCCAGTTAAGGCGAAGGGGAAGTAGAAGGAAAAATGAGAGTGATTTAGGTCATATGGCATGGTAAAAAAAAGGTTGTGGACTTGGAGTCATAAAATCTAGGTGCAATTACTAGTTGCATCACTAGGTATGTGACCAGCGCCATATCACTTAAACTCTCTGGGCCTCAGTTTTCTTATCTGCTAAATGGAGAATGTAATATTTGTCTGTACTGCCATATAAGATTGCTGTGGAGAAAGTACTTTGTGAATATTAAAATATTTTATAAATGTGATTAACTTTGAAATGTTAAGTATCTGAAGCCCTTTAATTATTCTTAAGCCCTCAACTGCTTAAAGAGTTCAAACTTAGGGCAGCTAGGTGGCGCAGTGGATAGAACACTGGGTCTGGAGTCAGGAGGACCTCAGTTCAAATCCAGCCTCAGACCAAACACTTGACACTTACTAGCTGTGTAACCCTGGGCAAGTCACTTAACCCCAATTGCCTAAAAATAAAAAAAAATTTTAAAAAAGAGTTTAAACTTTAAGAATTTCCTTAAACTTCCCAGAGACTCCACAGTAGACTGACACAAGAAATAATATTCTCTGGGCTGCAACTTCAGTGACCACTACATTATCACCTTTTTGAATAAACAAAATCAAGTCCAGAGACAGATTAGGCCCCCAAGCTGGAGATTCTCCATCTCTGATATAAGTATGAAATGCAAAGAAAATAGCTATTAGCTAGAATTAACAATAATAATTCAAAATGAAATTTGGTGCAAACAATTGAGTACAATGGGATGGTTTGGAGGAGAGGTAATACCTTTCCTTTCATGACAGTAATATTAGATCTTTTTAGCCATTACCTACAATAAGCTGAAAATAATTTATTTACAAATAAATACTGAAGCTTCCCAGAAATTGTACCTCAGATTTAGAATGAGTCATTTCTCTTTTGTAAGTGTTTATTTTGCCATCCTTTGTATCCTGTTTCTTTCTCTTTCTGCTGAAGTAGCCCTATCCTCTCTTCGTCCATCATGTCTTCTAGCCAAGGATAGCAGAGTGGACATAGCTCGGGGCTCCTGCTGGGCTCTGTCTACTTTTATACTTAATGCTTGTAGTAATCGTGCTTGCTTCCTAACCCTACTGTGCCTTCAGAAGAGCGGAAATTCAAAGCATTCTTGTTAACTACACTGACTACAGTTGCATGTCCTTCAATTTTCCAAATATTTAGCAAGAATTTATCCTATATTTTGTTATATTTGTTATATATTCTAAACAGATCTTAATCTTTATAAATGTATATAAAGATTTACCTTTCAGTCTGTAATGAATAAACTGAATGATTTCTAAAGGCATGCAAAGGAAAGATAAGGGAGAAAAGTTAAAAAAAGAAAAAGAAGCAGAGATTACAATAAGATCATTGTTTAACAAAAAAAAGATAGCAAATTATGATCATTTGCTATTTAAGATCTAAAAAGAAAATGAACTAACTGAATTTAAACCAGTAATAGGACATCAACTGCCATATACAAATTAAAGCACTGATTATTGTTTGAGAAAAAACAAATTTACATTGGTAGACAGACAAATATGAAAATTACACATAAAATAATTATGACAGGTCAAAAACTGTATAAAATTTAAATGTTTATTATATTACCCACTATTCAAAAATCATAAAATCAAAAATCATAAAATTAAAGAAAAATATAAATGATTGAAGCCTAAAGTAAATATTTTTTTTGTTCTTGATATTCCATGAAACATTAGAATAAAATCATTGACCAACACAAAATAAATTAATTCATATGATGCTAATTGAAGAGTAAGAAAATTATACCTAGTCTAGGAGGGAATGAAGTCAGAGGAGCCATGATAAGTTCAACTGATGTTAAATTGACCAGAAAGTATTCTTCTAGTTCGGGTATGTCATCCTGAAAAAGCATACACATTAGTCTTCTCATTATCCTCTAGAAGTAGTTTTGCCTGTCATAGACTGTTTTATAAATTGTCTGGTTGATGTTCATATTAAAATGGTCTTAAGGGAAATCTAAAGTTGCAAGCATAAGATGAAAAAGACATTTGCTTTATTCTTATGTCCAAAAGTATTCATAGTAATGCTAGTTGATAGATGCCAATCAGGCCAGATAAGTATTATCAAAACTTTCTCTAAGACAGAATGTTCATAAAAAGTTTTAATGAGGATGAAAGACTGAAAAATCACATCATTCTAAATATCTGCTATGAACCAGTACCATACTAAATATCCACCATGTATTTCTGATGAAAACAAGCTTGGTTCCACAAAGAAGAGAAATAGGAGAGATAAGGTCAGGTCCAATTAAAATCAAGGAAGTGAACTAAAAAGTAAAAATATACTTCTCCTTTTGCTTGGTTTTTACTCAATTTAATTCAATCACTTATTAAGTGCTTCCTATAGGTAGAACACAGTGCTAGACTGGGCAAACAAAGACGAAAATGAATATATCGATAGGGAAAAAGCTAAGAATTTAAATACTCTCTATCTCTTGACAATACTATGGATAAAGATAAGTTGCATATTGGATGATAAAACAAAAAAAACAGTCCCTTCATCTCGCCTACTAATTGCTTTTTAATCACAAGACTTTTAGGTTTCAATCAGTAATGTGGAAAACAAAAAAAGAAGTAGAAACAATTCAGAGGGATAGAGAAATGAAAGCAGATGTACTGTTCCAAGAAATGGGCCTTTGGAAGCAAAGGAAGAAGTTCAGACTCAAACTGAAGAAGTGATTAATAAAAAGAAACTTGTCAGACAATCTACAAACCTTACAAAATATCATTTCACATAAAGAAAAAGAATACCAAAATGTTATATCTTATGGTTATCAAATATATGACAATAACACCATGTTAAGTTAAAATGTTAACTCAACAAAAGAATTATCAGTGACTTTAGGTATTTGATCTTTTTCATTCATCTGTAATTTTATAAACTGAATGTTCTCAAATATAATATCAATAATATGTCACTAAATTTTATAAGCATTTTATAGATGTTAAACTCATTTGATTAATGTAATATCTGATTTGATAATACAATCATGATTTTTAAATACAATGCTATAATAGTCTATGATTATGAAAAGATAATTTTCGGTCTATTTTTTTCCAAAAATGAACTCAATGACAGATTATAACTTCCCAGGGTTAGAATTCCCTTTACACATGCAGAGAATAAGAAACCAGCTTAATATGCTCCACCATGCAACATGGATCAAGCACTATATGTACTTAACAAGCTTCTAACAATACTCTCTCTACCCTAACTACACTCTTTCCTCTAATCTATAAAGTTTTCTAATGAATATTTGGGACATAAAATGGGGTTCCTCAGGATCCAAATGGGCCACATCTTTTTAAAAGCCACTGCCCACTTCTTGTGGAAGAGTTTAGTAATCAAACTAAAAATGAACTAAACAAAGAAACTTAATCAGTAACCAATTTAACAAGGTCTCTGTAATCGATATCAGCACTGCATTAATACAGGTTTGAAATCTTACATGAGAGCAAACAAACTAATAAAATATGGAAAAAGAAAGCATGGAAGAAGAGGAAACTTAGATGTATATACAATTATGATCTTCTAAAAGAATAAACATGGCCAGATATCTCTTGCAAACAATACAGGTAGAATAGTCCATAAATTTCAGCATTCTGTGTTGTTTATTAAAATACAGCATTATAGTAAAGAATTTTACCTCTAGGATAGTAATATTGATGGCAGCGGATGTTTCCCCTTCCCTTAATATCAGGGAACCAACTACTGATGTAAAATCAACTCCAGGTGTTGCTAAATTTCCATCTGTCTGATTCTTTAGACTAAGCATCCCAGGAACTGTAGCATAGGTGACATTAATAATGCCTAGTTGTATTGGTGGAAAAAAGAAACTTTCATTATTTAAGATTTTAAATTATTATCAAATGATCTTGTTTGTCCTAGTAGGCAGACACCTAGATGCTTTCAACTTGAGTGGGGTTTTAATTTGGTCAAATTCTATGTATTTTAAGTATGTATAAATACTACAGTTTAATTGTGACATAGTATGACATAGACAACAAGTCTGTGGCTCAGTCCCACCTCTGACACATACTGGCTGTGTGACCCTGGGCACAAATTACTTAACTTCAGTCCACTAAGCAACCCTCGGAGACTGTAAGTTGCAAAACAGACGAAAGAAGGAATTTCTTCTCCAGAAGTTCTCAACACCAATGAAATCACAGGGCCAGACCAAACAAATAAACAAACAAAAAAACCTAACACAAGTGCTTGTACACAGAAGGCATTTAATTGAACTTATTCATAGGACCATCATTCTATAATTGGAAGGGATTTCAGCAGACATTGATCTCACACTCTCCTGGTTCTCTTTTTTGCCTTTCTGATGTCTCCTTTCTCCTTTTCACTGGCTCTTCTTTCTTCTCACCCTCTCCCTTTTACCAGAGCAATACCACTCCCCTCAAAGCTCTCTCCTTAGCCCTCTTCATTCATCTGTTTTTATATCCTCTTTCTTGGTGATCAATGTGCATAACCATAAAAATCCCCCCCATCGATTTCTTTCCTGAATTCATAATTATCCTCTTCAAATGCCTAATGGAAATCTCCAGCAGGATGCCCTATCAGGATCAGAAGATCAGTCTCTGAAATAACTCATCATCTTCCTTCCATGTTCCTAACTTCCCTCCTTTCCCAATCTCTTTCTTCCCTTGTATCTTCAAATACATGAAATAGATTATTTTGCCATTCTCTGAATATAACCCTTTACAGAAAAGTATTCTTATAACTTCAAGTGCTACCTCCAATATTTCTTTCTTAATCCCCAACAGATGAAAATTATTTCTCACTCACTGATCTTCAGTCCTGGTCTGTGATTTCATTGGTGTAGGGAATTCCACGTACCAGTTTGCTTAGCCATTCCCCAGTTGATGGGCATCTATTTTGTTTCTAATTCTTTGCTATCACAAAAACGCTGCTATAAATATTTATATATTTTCCTGGTAAGGAAACTCCTTCTGCCAGTTAAAAAAAAAGACAACTAGTCAGCTTGGTGCTGTGTGATGCTGGCCTAGATCCAGGGCATCTTTGCACCAAATGGATAAAATCTTGACTGGGAGAAGAAAGTAATTGAATATTTTAAAGAAAGCAATTCTACTCAGTGAAAATAAGTGGCTACCCCAGAGTCATACAGCCAGTATGTGATAGAGGCAGTACTTGAACTCAGGACTTCCTGACTCCAAAGTTGGCTTTCTCTACACTACAACCTGCTATGGCCACATTTGATCTTACCAAACTTTATATTCTTCTCATGCACTTGGCTCATTTCAGTTTTTGTTGTTATATTTACCTATGTATATATCTTATCACTTCCACGATACTGTAAATTCTTTAAGGATAGAGATCAAGTCTTAATTATCTCTGTACTACTCTGAGTACTTAGATTTTCACTTAATAAATTCACATTTCATTTAATAAATATTCAAATGAATGTTGAATTCAATATTACAAGCAGGTCATTCTTTCTGAAGTAACACAAACCTAGGGATCCAAATTCTCTGTTGATGAAAAGTTGGATGGTTATGTTTGCTTCCTGGACCAAAACAAATCTTGAGGAAGGAGCAAAATTCAAAACCCCATGTGGTTCATCACTCGCCTCCACTGTCAGCACAGCTTCGTATCCTTGGCTGTCAATTATAGCCATTCCAGTTGAGGAAACTCCTGGAAAAGTCAATAGATCACATAAGAAGTTTTGCTAATATTCTAGCTCATTTCCTAAATTCTTAATATCTTTCTTTCATTCTGTCCTTTATGCTTAGGTTGCTAGAAATTATCCCAAAAAAAGAAAAAGAAAAAAGAAAGAATAATATTTTGTATTTTCTACTTTTCTACATTCAACATTTCACATTCCCACCCTGAGAATTCTATGTATTAGTCAATGGAAGCTCTCTCTTATTTGTATTTCCCTAACAATTAAACATTAATTTATTCACTAGATCTTGCTATTATCATTACTTGCAAAGCTGGTGTAGGCTATACAACAGATTTCAAGAACAAAACAGAGACAACCAAGTTAAGTGGACTAACATGTAAGCAACTTCATAAACAATTTTATGGCCTAATTAGTAGGAATGCGACTGCTTCACTTTCAAAGAAACCATTAATACTAAGCTTTTGTGAATTTGGGATTGGCAAATATTTTCAAGCCATTCTAGATTTTTTGTACCAAAAAGTTCTATGCCTCCCTCTAATCTACAAAAACAAAAAGTTAAAAAAATAACCTAGGAGTGGCTAGGTGGTACAGTGCATACAGCACTGGCCCTGGAGTCAAGAGGACTTGAGTTCAAATCCAACCTCAGACACTTACTGTGTGACCCTGGACAAGTCACTTAACCCCAACTACTTCATAAATAAATAATGAAAAATAAAAGAATAATCTAAACATGACGATGATGACACTTGTGTTTTATAGATGGGGATCACGGCCATTGCCAATTTTCTCTTTCAAAAGACAGTACTAAATTACAGAAATCATCATTTAATTGGAGTTTAGGTTACCTTGTGTCCTGACATTGTACAAAATCACTTGGTATTCTTCCTTTTCCTCAGGAATATCATCATCCAACAAATGCACCAAAAATGTTTGATTTAGTGATCCCTATTCCATACAAAGAGAAGACTGATAAATTCTCATCATCACTGAAAACTGACCCCACATCTAGAATGTAGACAGTCTACTCAGTGCTAAGTTCTGGAAATACAAGGACATGATACTTGCCTTCTTGGAGATTAAAATCTGATTGGGAAGATGCAACAGGTGAAGTCACAATGCTGTTTTACCCTGGGGCTCCTACTGTTCTGATTAGTGATTACATCAGCCACCCACTATATCTAGGACCAACCCTAATCATTCTCCATTTCACCCAGTGACTATCTTCTCACTAGTAGCCTTGCCATGATGTTCAAGTACTCTCTGTGATACCCCTTCCTTAACTCCCAAAGGATCTCCCTTAAGGATCCAGTTCTAGATCCCTAATCAAATCAACTCTGTCATAGTTTCTGGCAAAGGTGTGTTAATCTAATCCCCTAAGGCTCCACAAACCATCCCTGTGATTTCCTTTTTTTAAAAAAAAAAAAAAGTTTTTGTTGATGTCTTCTATTTCTTGAAAGATCATAGCTATCCCAAATGTTCCTCCTACTTCCCTTCCCAGAGAGCCATCCAATATAACAAATATTTTTTAGAGAGGAAAAAAATCAACACAACTGATTGACACATTGAAAAAGTCTGAAAAACACGTGCAATGTGTAACACCTGTGGACTTCCCACCACCATTAAAGGGTGGATTGGAGTTGTTCTCTCATATCTCTGCATTATAGTTCTGCTTGATCTTTATAATTTTGTTACATCTACTTTTTATTTTTCAGTGTACAGTTGTTCTTTCCATTTGCATTGTTGTAATTACAGTGTATATTATTCACTTGGCTCTGTTTACTTCACTCTGCATCAGTATATATAGCTCTTTCCACACTTCTCTGTATTCACTACACATTTTTTTCTTACAGTGTAGTAGTATTCCATTACAGTCATGCATCATAATTTGTTTAGCCATTCCCCAATCAATGGGCATCTAGTTTGTTTCCAATTCTTTGTGACCACAAAACACTCTGATATAAATATTATGGTGTATATAGGGACTTTCTTCTTATCTATGGCTTCCTTGGCAATATAAGCCCAGTAATGGAGTCTCTGGGACAAAGGGTACGGAAATTTTTAATAACTTTATTTGCATAATTACAAATCGCTTTCCAAAATGGTTGTACCATTTCAAAGTATTACCAACAATATATTAGCCTATCATTCCACAACCCTTCCAGCATTGACTATTGCCACTTTTTGTCATTTTTGCCAAAATCTGGTAAAATCTTGACAGCTACCCTTGTTCAAATCACTAAGGCTAGACTGTGGGGCAACTAAACTTTAAGGCCTACTGTGTCACCTGTGAGAGAATGACCCACATAAAGGAGCTCTAGAAGTCCTGTCTCAAAGGAGTTTTCCCCATGGTATCAAAAATGCAATCTTCAGATTTATTCCCCTTTGTTCTTACCATATATATTTGGAGGGAGGACAGAAGCCTATGATTTTTCCTAAATATTCATGTCAATTTTGTATGAAGTTACCTCAAGAAAGAAGATTTCTCCACTAAAGTTAGCAAAGTTATGCTCAAGAAGTTGACCAATAATTTTCCAGTTAACAGTAACATTTCCTTGACCAGGGGGTGTTCTTATGACGTGGAATTCCAAATTTTCTCCTAAAAATGACAGGAACAGAATTATGTTTCCTTAATGGAAAGTCACCTTCATATTTATACTCAATATAACCAAAAGGTCTAGGCACACATTAAGAGATTCTATCATCATTCTCCTAAATATTATACAAATGTTTTGTCATAATGTGCTAAACTTAAAAAAATGCTCATTTTACTCCATAACAAAAATGGTGTCACTGAATTTTTGATGCTTCCAGTTATTTCTTCTTCAGGAATAGCAATACTGTAAAGCTATAAAGAACACACTGATACATTTACCTCTACAGTAACATATGCTAAATTGGATAATACTTGAGGCAAAATGCTATTTATAACACTAAGTCAATTCTCTCTTTACTCATCACAAATTCCTAACATTGAAATGCAATGATATTTTATACAATACATATACAAAAATGCTTGCAAATACCTGAAAGACACATCTCTTTGGATTTTAACTCATGCAATAACATTATTTGCATTTTAAATGTAAAAGAAAGGTATTAATATCCTCAGGAAAACTATGATACAAATGACCAATTTATTTGTATGTTTTTTGTATGGCTGTAATAGTCAAGCACTGTTCTCTAGTATTACAAAGAACATGAGCTAAAAGCAAAAGCAAGCTTCTAGAGATCAAAGACAGTTTTTCTAAGGAACAGTCTTATGGCATCATGAAAATGTCTGTTTCATAAATGTTAAATAATGATGACATTAATCATATGCTAATGAATAATTGTGTTTAAAATGAAATTTCATTTTTAAAATATGAAAAGCTAATCTGAATGATTAATATCTAATGAAGGAGTTATATAGAATCTCATTTAACTTTAACAGCATATAAAATATATGGACACTATCACTTTTTTATTCACATAAATTGCATATATTTACAAACACTGTCTTTTTTCAAATACCTTTAGGAAACAATGAATGTTATTGTTCAATTACCTTATGATAAATAGCATTAACAAGCCAATGGTTTTTCAGGGTGGTAAAATTAGAATCATATTTCTGTTATCAGGGAAAAATTTCCTAAATATGAATATACTAGGGGAAATATTTCATTAATTTAGACAGTCAATAAACACTTATTATGTGTCTACTAAATGTTGGGTACTGTGCTACGCATTGCAAATTCAAAAAGAGACAAAAGACAGTCCCTACCCTCAAGGAGCTCACTAATGGAATAGACAATAAGCAAACCAATTTGTACAAGCTATATCCAGGATAACAGGGAAATAATTAAAAGAGAAAAGCCAGCACAATTAACTTTCAGAAATGCTTCCTGGAGAAGGTGGAATTTTAGCTGGAACTTGAAGGAAGTCAGGGAATCTAAGAGGTAGAGATGAGGAAGTGCATTCCAGGTATGGGGGACAGCCAGACAAAATGCCCAGATAATAAACTGAGTTATATTTCTTAATTTCAATTACTGAGAAATAAATAAAATAAAAATGCATCATTAAAAGTAATTATGAGCAACAGAAAGTAGAATAAGACAAAAACATCAAGAAGCTTCATAATGACTGCATATAGCAACTGGAATTCACTTAATTCAATTCAACAAATATTGAGTACACATGGGCTATGCATGGGGCTTAACACTATTAAAAAGATACGTAAGCCATTGCTCCTGCTTTTGAAGAGCTTATAATTTTTTAGGGAGAATCTAAAAAGCACACAAGTATCTATGATATAAATCAATGAATAAACATTTATTGTCTTCTATGTGCTAGGCACTATGCTAAGCACTTTACAAATATTACCTCATTCAATCCTCATAACAATCCTATTGCCTAAACAGGAAGTGACTTGCCCAAAGTCACACAGTTAGTACGTGTCAGAAGCCACATCTGAACTCAGGTCTTCCTGACTCCAGGCTTAGCAATCTATCACTGCACCACTTAACTTTACAGCAGTTTAAAGATTAGAAAACACTTTACATCCATTATCTCATTTGAGCCTTTCAACAACCCTATAAGATAATAAGAATTGTATTTTGCTTATTTTACAGATAAAGAAACAAAGGTTGATCACAAAGATGATAAATATCAGAGGTAAGATTTGAACCCGGGTTTTCCTAGCTCACACTTAGCAATCTATCCACTTTGCCTATCACAGTTATGATTGAATGGAGGTTGTGAAGGGTTACCAAAATAACACTCACAGAAATCAAAGATTTGCCCAGGGTCACAAAGATGGTAAATATCAGAGGTAAGATTTGAAACCAGGTCTTCCTAGCTAACACTTAGCAATCTATCCACTTTGCCTATCACAGTTATGATTGAATGGAGGTTGTAGAGGGTTACAAAAATAATATCCACAGAAATCAAACAATACTTGAAAAAGCTAGAAAAAAATTTAAAGGAAAGGGCAGAAAAATAACCTCTCTTTTCTAACGAAAGGAGCAGTTTTCATACAAGATACTCTATTTTCTGAAACCATAAAATCTCCACTAAGAAAAATCTTCAGGTTTATGAAGTAAACTAGCTGACATTCCTATAATCTGTATTTGAATGCAGATTATCTGTTTGTTCCAATGTCAAAATACAAAGTCAAAAGGAAAAGAAAAGAACTAGTATCACTATACTTCTCAGGGAAAAAAAATGACAAGAGATCTAAATTGACAGGAGGAGACTTTCAATTAAATATATATATATATTCTTCATTTCCCACCCCATCCCAGTTGGTTCTCCTCTATATTAAAATGAAAATGATAGATTAATATTTTAGAAACAATTATAGGTATATAAATAATTCGAAAAGAAATTGTCCATGTGAACAGTAAAGATTGAAAAGTTAAGGTTGTTCCCAGTACTGAAGTACTGAAAGTGAGTTTAAGGAATCACATTTCAAATGTCAGGGGAAATGTGCTGGTGTGCAAATCTTTGCCTGAAGTTGATTCATGCTGTCTCTAAGAGAAGTGAAAATTTAAAATCCATCGAACATGACATGATGATTATGATCCTGCAGACGCCAGTGACTGAGTTGAATTCCTAAGCCTGATTTATAATGAAACCCATTACATATTGTTTAAAACTATACTGAAATTCATTCTACCATATTTCTAAATTTCATACATTAAGTTTGAAAGAAAGCAATATTCACCACTGTGCATCACATCGATTGCTTTTGTACAAAACGCAGAAATAAAATTCATCATGATTCAATACCATGTTATACAATAAAACAACTCCTTTCCATGAATCAAAAATTCAAGCTGAAGTTGAATGGGCACTGTAGTCCAAGCATCAAATCTAATCACATAAATAAAAGACCAATGTGAAGAATAGAAGCAATGTTATCAATGTGAGTGGCCCACATGACTCACATTTCTACCCAACGTGATCTACAGTTATCTCAGTAGAATCACCATGAATACATTCTGTCTCTAAAAAGAGTTCTATACTTTCGTGCTTGTAAACTCACATTAGGTACGTTTCTCTGTGCACTATTATACATGATACAATTGAATTATATATACAAAATGTTCAATGTGGTATATAACATTTTTAGAAAGCAGAATACAGCAGTATTTAAAGCAGAGACAAGAATGTATGAAAATAAAGTAATAAAGCATAGCTATATCAAGACTTTACATTTAGAAATTATACAAAATTTAGGGAGAACTAAATTGAACTAAATTAGACATGTTTACTTTATTTATGCCATTCTTCATATACTTCTACCACAGGTCAGAACATTGAAAGGTAAACCTAGAGTCAAAATCTTCAATTCCTATTAATTTACACACTTAAACATGTTACGTTCTTCGCATAGACTATTTGGTGAATACTACATAAGCCATGATATGAGAGGCAGCTAGGTGATAGTGAGTAGGATGCTGGGTCAAGAAAAACCTGAGTTCAAATGCAACCTCAGACATTTATTAGCTGTGTGACCCTGGGTGAGTCACTTAACCACTCAGCCTGTTTTCTTCTCGGTAAAACAGGAATAATAATAGTACCTACTTCCAAGGTTGTGAGGATAAAATGAAAAAATATAAACCTTAAGTGCTATATAAATGTTGTCATTATTATGTTATAAAATATAATATAGGCAGCATATGGCTTACGGATTTCAAAGTGATAAAGAGTATAACAACAAAAGGGCTCCTACACCATGCTAACAAATTGTTTTACTGAAATCCATGCTTATGGATTTCAAAGTGATAAAGAGTATAACAACAAAAGGGCTCCTACACCATGCTAACAAATTAGTGTCATCAAGGTGATAAGACCCATCTAACTTCTATTTCTTCCCATCTCCTAAGAGATCTGCTCCCAAACCCATAATCATAATCATAGAGCATTGATAGAAGAAGTATCCATGCCAGAGAAATCACAGATTCTTAAAATATTAAATGACTGGTGCATTAAAAAGAGAGAATTACATATGAGAGCCAATACTACTTATGGATTAAATAAAATTATATTCTGCATAGAAAAAAACGGAAAATACACACTTTCTACGTGAACCTACAAGACTAACTTAGCACATTATTGCCCATGAACAGATAGCTGATTCTTACGTCATTACTTGATCCTAAAAAAAATACAATACAGTTTTTGCTATTCTTCTCATTTTTGCAATGAAATTTCCAAGTATTAAGATGCAAGTTGATTTAATTTGGAGTAAGCTTTTTCTACTTCATCTTCTGCCATGTATGTTTGTTGTTTTATGATGTAATGAGCTTTTAATTTGCTTGTTTGCATTATGAACCCTGGAATGTGAAGTAACTAATGCCCTAAGTAATATAACAGGTAGACACCATTTACTTTGCAAACTAAAATTGCCATATATATCCAAGTGGAAATTTACTTATAGGAAGTCAAGTATTCCAATGATCCAAACAAGCGTTATGCATACCTGATATTAAGCTTGCCAAAACCATGAAATGAACAAACACGAGAAGCTTTCATAGGCTGTATGAATGAATAATGTCCAAGAAAAAAAACAGAATGAATGTAGTAAACAGAAAAAAAAAAAAGAACTTACCTTCGTGACCAATAACAGACCTGGAGCCTGTGTGAAAGCTAACAATTCCTGCAACATGGTCATTGGCCAAAATGTTCACTGTAACAGTGTCAGAACTGGGCAAAATACGACTCCCACCTTCAGTGTAAACCAAACTGATTATAATGTTTTCATCATCCTCAGGCTCAGAATCATCTAAAATGGTCAAAGTCACAGTCTTTTTGGTTTCACCTAAAGTAAAGAAATGAACAAGAACAATATAATCACTGATTTTCAAGATCAACTCCAATTCATTATTTTCAGAAGTACTAGGGAGGATCAACTCTGCTGTACCAGTATTATTCTTGAAGTAATTTTCCTTAGGCACAGATCTATGTCATTATCATAATCAATAAACCCCAGTGTCTCTCTGTTGCCTCTAGGACAAAATAAAAAGGCAGGAACTGTTTTTGCCTTTATATTCCCACTGCTCAGTACAGTGCCTGACACACAGTAAGCATTTAATAAATGCTTGTTAAGTGGCTTACTTGACTGTATGGCTTTTAAGATCTCTCATGGTTTTCCCTTCATTATATATCATCCTCCTTCCTACACTTTACAGTCCAGTCAAACTGATGTTCACTCTGTCTCTCTCTCTCTCTCTCTCTCTCTCTCTCTCTCTCTCTCTCACACACACACACACACACACACACACACACACACCCCATTATATCTACCTTCTCCAAGATTTTGCACTGCCTGTCCCCATGCCTGGAATGTATTCTCTCATCAATGCTTCAAAGAATCCCTTTCTTCATTTAAGCCACAGATCAAGTACCATTTTCTGCACGAAATCTCTCCTGATCCCAGCCAGCTGGCCAACTTTTCACTTTCTACTTTATAGAAAATTATCTCACTTTTAAAAAATATTATTCTGTGTACTTATATATGTGTATTTTGTCCTGATGTCTCCAGTGCCTGGCACATATTATATGCTTGATAAATGCTTCCTGTTAAAATGATAATTAAGGACAAACACCATAAGAGAAAGGAATTGGAAAAGTTACTCTGTGTGTGTGTGTGTATATCCACACACATATACTGTATATGTCACATATAAAACATATAGTATGGTATATATTTATAGTATAGCATATACATATATTATATATACAATACATAGCATATATAGTATATTGTATGCTGTCATATATTATTGTACATACAATATATACTATAAAAGATACTATGCTATGTAATATTTATAATATATGCTATATATTATATTATACATGGAATATATACTGTATATTATATACTATATTGTATACACACATTATATAATATAATCTCAAATGTACATACATGCTGCATATACTACATATTTTATATATCACATATATCATACTATAAGATATATTATGTGGTATTATATAATATGTATTATAGTATATTTAATATAATAAATATAACAAAATTATAATATAATTATAATTAAACATAATATTTTATAGTACATACTACACTGTAAAATGTTATACTATATGACATAGTATAGTATAGTATGTTTTTAGTATGGGTATATACAATATATTGTATACACAATATATAATGTATTAAACCTGCATGTATATATCACGTGCATGTATGTACAGTACATACATTATATAATATAGTATATGTATAGACATATTATTTGTTGTATAATATATAGTATATAATATGCTATACTATATAGTATATATTGTATAGTATAGTACGGTATATACAATATACCATATAGTCAATAAGTAGTATATACAACATATAGTACACACTACATAGTATACAATATACTATAAGATAAGTAGTATATGATATAATACATATTATGTATGCTGTTACATATGCTACATACTATATATACAATATATCATATATAGTACACTATAAAATACAGCATATGTACTATATACAGTAACTCTTCTAATTCCTTTCTCTATATACAATATATTGTATATATTACATATATTGCATACTGCATATTGTGTATACTTTATAGTATATAGACCTTATGTATGTGTGGATATGTGCATGTATATAGAAAATGGTACTTATGGTCACAAAGACATTCCAATTCTTTCTAAAAATATGAACATAATAAATATTAACATTCACATAATACTACAGCTCACCTTCAGCAAAAGTCAGAATATCTCCTTCACCTACAAAGTCTGCACCTTCAACAGCTGTTCCACCAACAACACGCCACTCCACTGTGACCTGGCCTAAGCTGCCCCCTAGCCTCTCAATCGACAGGTGTACCATGGTTTGGGGCTGCTCCTGAACTTCCACATATCGGCCATCCTCTGATGTATTGGGACTGATACTTGAAATTCTGAATACCCCAAAAGCATCACCATTCAACATTATGACAACTGTAGAAGTATTTGGCTGTCCAAATGTTGGCTGGTTTTGGGGGCTGGCTGAGATGTTCATCAGTTCAACCTCCAGAAGGGAAATAGTGAAACTCTCATCCATCTCTGGGAAATCATCAGGAAGAATGGAAACTGTGAGGTTTGCAAATTCATCACCCTCCAACATTATAGCCCACTGCCTTATCACAGGCTCATAATCACTCCCAGCCACAGCCTTTCGGCTAAAAAGGGTAGCTACCCTTGTCGTGTTTTTCCGATAGGTCCAGAATTCGGAGCTGTTGCTATTCAGGCTAGTCAATGTAGTCATCCAAAAACACTGGGGAATCTCAGAAGAAACAGAAACAGAAAAGGCTAAACATGCTTGTTCTTCAAGGCACAGAGTAGCACATGTGTGCTGAGGATCCACCATTGCAGAGACATTCACCCAAGTTCTTCCAAGCTGGCCTGGAACTCCGTGAGCTGGTGATTCGTAAAAGGACAGGACATCTTGACCTTCCTCCATCGCAAGAGCCACAACATCAATATCTGATGTGCTATAGTAGAGCAACAGCTGGCCAAATCGCCCTCCGCTAAAAAGTGCAGTGATAAAATTGAGAACCAGGTTAGTTCATCAGAATAATTTTGCTTAAATTCTCTTGAATTCTACATGAAGAAGAAAGAAATATTAAAGAAGATCGAGTGGCTGTTTTTCACATTTCTCAAGCATGTTAAACAACCAAAAAACATATCTAATCTCTAAAAGTTATCATGATGAGAAATTAAGAGACTTAGGTTCAAGATATTAACTATAAGTCAGTTCACCTCTTTTTTCTTAAATGTAAACTGAATGAGTTAGATTAGATTTTCTCTAAGGATCCAACATTCCTCAGATGCTTACCACTTGTGTGACCTTGGGCAAGTCACTTAATTTTCTTAGGCCTCAGTTTTCTCATCTGAGGAAAATGAAGAGATTGGCCTCTAAGACGCATTCCAGTTCTAAATCTGTAATTCTGTAACCTAAACTACACAGTGTCCTTTCCATTAAAAACAGATGTTGGGAAATTGATTTTTCAGAAAAATTTATTATTTAGCTGTCTTAAGTGACATCATGCAAGTCACTGGAATTGCTTCTCAAATTTATTTTTTATATTATATATTATTATATATTACATATGTTATATTACATATTATATTTTATATTTTATATTATAATATATCATATTATATATTTTTAGTATTGCCCCCTTTATTACTGCATTACAATGAAACCACAAGGAAAGTAATAAAAGTAAATTTTGGGGAGGAAAGGCTTTTTTAAAATTTGGCTTTTGACCACAAGTATTTGGATAGATCATATTCTCAGTTCTAAAGCATCTCAGGGGTAGCTTAGAGTTTCACCAAAGAACTGAGAGAAAAAAATAAAGTTTATAAATCATAAGCTAATTTGGATTTTCTTTAATTTAGAAACAAGCGTCCATTTCACTCCCAGTTATGTCCACTAGAAGGAAATGCAGGTTCAATGCCATGACAAAAAACTTCCTAACAATTAAAGCTACCCAGAAGTTGAATGGGCGGGCCAGAGAGGGTCTCCAAGCAATGGGTATACAACTACTTAACACCAATGTGGTCAAAGAGATGCCTTGGACTACATGGCCACTGAGGTCCCTCCCAATTCTCAAATTCTGTGACTCTCTGAAATTACTGACTAAACTAAAGGCTTTAAAATTACATGATAAATAATCAATCAATGTACTGTATTTCACAAAAAAAAAAAGTGTGACAGAACTTCCATGTTAATAGTACTAAATTTAATCAACTATTGTGTACCTTGTAAAATATTTTGGAAATCAGAATCACCAAAACTAAGTTATTCCAGAAATTTCCACTAAAATCAGAATGCTTGTTCTACAAACCTTCTCCTGACAGTAATGTTGACACAAGAACTTTTCTCCAGAGGCTCCTGGACACGGTAAACAGATTGAGAAAAGGCTACTGTGCCATAGGGATTATCATTGGCAGGTACAATAATATTTGCCACTCGGTCTAACCCAATTGTACCTCCACCAGAGGCTTGAGTTAGTTGCACTTGGATAACCTAATAAGAAAGAGTGAAAAACTTTCTTAATAGTATCCCAGTTCTGACATTAGAGTAAGAATGATAACAGAAATACTTCAAAATAACCTAACAGTCCTGATACACTTGGTTCAAAAAAATAATGACCTATGAGACACATGAAAAACCCAACCTAAAAGTAAATTAATTGCCCTCTCCCCAACTTCTTGATACCAAATATAATCATTAATGGGGAGCTAGGTGGCACAGATGGGCCTGGAGTCAGGATGACCTGAGTTCAAATGTGGCCTCAGATATTCGTTAGCTGTGAACCCTAGTCAAGTAACCTCTGTCTGTCTCTGTTTCCTCAACTATAAAATGAGCATCATATCTCACCTATCTCACAAGGTTGTTGTGGGGATCAAATGAGATAATATTTGTAAAGTGCTTAGCACTTAGAATATAGTAGATGTATATTAAATGCTTATTCCCTCCCTTTCCCTCCTCCTTTGGGTCTATCCAGAGACTAGCATAATGCTTGCCACATAGCAGATTCTTAACAAAGGCTTGCTGATTGACTGATTGATTATTGGCTGAAAGGTTAAGTGACTTGCCTATGGTCATGTCTTGTACTTTCTCATGGGAAAAATATCTTTTCAAATATATTATTTAGAAAGAAGTATATAGTCTATTCAATTTCTGCATCAGCTAAAACATACATCTACTTCTTGTCACATAAACTCTATTACAGTTTGTTTTTAGAACAATATAAGAAGGAAGCTTTCTTATAAAATAAAATATATGTTTAATACTTTCAAAGTTGACACGTGTTTTTTTTTTAATTTTATACCTATTGGCCAATCTCTAAACTACAAGCATTTTTTTACTGGTACATGGAAAAACAATTCACACTTGAAAGAAATTCCATGGGCTTCACTCTGACACCTACTACTTACAGCACCATCATTCTATCATTCTAAATTGATAAAAGAAAAATAATATTTAGAAACAAATTTCTAAGGAAATCATTATAGGCTCAGATTTTAATGCTGCTTGTGTTTCATAAAAAACTGTTTTATTCTCATTCAGTAATATAATTAGGATTAATTTATATTCACAGTAAGTCTAAATTTTTTATTTCTCAGCATGCCTCTTCATTATAAAAAAATCAAGATTGGGAAGGTGCTTAATATGGGTTACAATCTTCCTTTAATTTAAACTGATTGGCTCCCACTAAAGCCAAAAGGAAGTACAGATTCAATCAAATTAAAATTTAATATGTCACAAATGGAATAGAAAGAAAAAAAAACATGGCTCAGATATTCTAAATACTTAACCATAATGACCAAAGTCCACATATACCTTACAGAAGTTCTATGAACATACAAATTAGTAAATTGTTGATAACACTATACAATCCCTTATGGAGTTATATTTTTATTTTTTCAATGAGGCTTAGGACTTCATACTCCATTACTGTATTTAAAATATCCTTTTATAAAATGATACATCAAACACCCTTATTCAAATATAACAGCACCAGGTTTACTATACTTGTACACTAAGAATCATAAGACAAGGTAACAGAAGTTGATTTACAGTGTCATTCTAGACTAGCTCTTCCTCTCACCTCTTCAATTTCCGGAACGTCGTCAGCCAGGACCTCTAACAACAAGGTTTGAATGGTTTCCCCAGGGGCAAAGGTCACATTACCTGAGACAACTCGCAGGTCGCCAGTGGCAAGTTCTCCATTAATGGTGGCAACCCATTGAACAGTGACATTGCCGAGTGTCCCAGAATTGCGAATTATTGGCAGGTTTACCTTCACAGAATTGACCTCAGGCTCCTCTACTATAAGTTTAGTAGTCTGAAAAACTGAAGTGTGAAGCATAGTTAGTTTGAAACACATATTGAAGCCAAGTCTGTAATAAGTTATGGATTAGGATTTGACCATCTTCCGGTCTTTTCATATTTGGGATTTCTCTGCTACTTAAGGTATTTAGGGCAATTTTGATAGCTAAACACTGCACAAAAGGGAATGTTGTCAGTTACCAAATAAACCATTCTGCGGTTTCTTTTCTTCTTGTGAGTGGAAGACTTTATAAGCATAGAAGAAGCTAACCTTGTTCACTACTAATGGCAATCAAGATAGGACTGCACCATACCTGTTCAGCAGGTAAGCAATAAGCCCCCAGAATGGACTCCCAGCTGCTTATCAAGGACACTTAAACTGCACTTAAAATTTCGATAGAAAAAAATATCAATAGAAAAGTGAAACATTTAGTTCTTTGATTCTATGAAAATGAAGGGAAATCTGTCATATGGGCCTTTCATCTCATCAGTTCCAAAGCATACAGAGTCTAAAGAGAGAAACAAAGTGATCAGGTTTACCAAATAATCCATAAGGATCGTCAGAGGCCTCAATAATGATGATTGCCTCTGTTAATGCCCCAAGTTTTGCTCCTCCGGTTGTTTCATTCAGCAGCTGCACTAGAAAAGATTCTTCCAGCTCAGGGTATATATCATTAATGACATATATTGGCACAGCTTTACTGGTTTCACCTTCTAGCAAGACCACATCTGATGAGGCTATACTGTAGTCTTCACCTATCAAGTCAAAAATCAATATACTTACTTTTAAAATCTTTTGAACCAAAACAAAAAGAAGTTAAATATCTTGAGAAAATTTATCTATTAATATACAAAACTCTTAGACATAGGATCATAGATCTACAGTTGGAAGGGACCTCAGAGGTCATCACATACAACCTCCTCAATTTACAGATAAGGAAATTAAAGTCCAGAAAGTTTAATCAGGAGTTCTTAACAAGGTGTCACAGTCTCCTCTGAATGTCTAGTGAAACCTATGGAGCCCTTCTCAGAATCATATTTTTAAATACATAAAATAAAATGTATAAGCCTACAAAGGAAGCCAATTATGCTGAAATACAGTTGTCAAAATGTATTTTTTTAAAGTTCACAGACCCCAGGTTAAGAACCCCTGGGTTAAGTCATTTGCCCAGGCTCCCATCGCTAGTAAATTTATGAGAAAGTATTTGAACCCAAGTTTTCCTGATTCCAAATCCTGGCCTCTATCTATTACACTAAGCTACCTACAAACAGGTTTTGTCTAATAGACTCCAGAAATTAAAAAAAAAGCCCAAATGATCAGATCCTATAAAAGTCTAGTGCATTTTTCTACCTTCAAAAACACAGAACCATTTCTAACTCTTTACATATGACTATTACTTTCTATTCAGATTTCTATTTCTTTATCAAACTGGATATGATATAAAAAAGTACAGAAACAGAATTTTGATCATACTAGAAAGATTAAATAGTCCATGATTTCTCAATTTTTTTAATGTGGTGGAACCCTATACTTTAAACCAAACTAATTCTCACAGCAAAATCTTTTAAACTGGTTTTTAAATGCCTAATAGGAATAAAGATTCCATATAGTATATACCTGATTTAAAAGAAAAAAAGAAATATTTTTTATTTGAAGAACAATTTTACTCTAGATTCAAAAATATTACAACTTATTAAATGAGAAGGATATAACTGTTATTATTTAGTGCAATGGTCTCCAAATTTTTCATTGCATATCCTATCAGTAAAAGATTTTTGAGCTTGTACCTCTAATAAATGTATATGGATTTATTCATAAATTATGTTTGTGTACTACTATGTGACTTAGTCTATGCACGTCAAAACAAATATGGCTCTGAAGGAGGATTTTACTCAACAATAGTTGCCCTTGCTTTAAAGTCTGACCTCCAAATGGATGCCTACTACAGCCACAAGGTGACAGGCGACAAGGGATGGGTATGCTGGGGGTGGAGGGAGAAATTCTTCCACTGGCACCTATTGCTACTTGGTCTCTGTTAGGTTACATCTTCCCTCAGGGGCTACCAGTCAAGTAAGCAAGGGGGTGGGGTTGACAGCTGCTTCAGGAGGCAGACACAGAGTGGGAGAGAGTTGAAGGATAATGGATGAAGGGTTCATGTACTTATATTGGAGACAAATCCCACAACTGGCTAATGCAGGAAGGGTAGGATGTGACCAATCTTCCCATCCTCTGATTGGCTGACCACACCTCTCTGGAGACATTCCATGGTTCTATCTCACTATCCCCACTCCGCAGAACACTGACTTGGTATTTTATAACTGAGAACAACATTCCCCAAACTTCCCAAGTTCACCTTGAAGAGGGTTCCACAAAAAGTTGCATTCTCCCATTACTTAAACAAGTCTATATCCTGGAGAAAGCTTCCAATTTACCACATTTTTTTCATTTAAAACTCTTTTCATTTTACTTCAAAATCTGCTGTGTTTTTTACCCTAACACATTTTTAATTTTGTCAGAACCTTAAAAAAAAATACGCTGTGCACCAGGATCAATAGAAATTAACCTATATTAACAACTGAATTTCTCCTATACTTAGGTGGATATTTGTTTCATCTTGATTGTGAAGACTGTGGACTTCTCTCTACAAACTTCCCAATTTTACATAACTATTGATATGAAAATATTTGAAACTTTCATGTAAATGAAATATAATTATACGTACCGATATTAAAATTATAAATAAAGATTAGGAGCATGATAGAGCTGGAAAGGACTTCAGTGGCCATCTAGTTACTTATATGCCTTTGTCTGAACCTCTCCAATGGGGAGTAAAGGTGGCATTGAGGAAAGAGGTACGCTTTTCTTCTCAAAGTATTCCATTCCAACTTTGGTATGGCTTTAATTACTACCCAGGGCTGTCAATTCAGTGCACTGAGACCAAGTAGAACTACATGAATACTACTTTCATTTGACAGCCTTTCAAATACTTGAACTCTCAATCTAAAGATCTCCAATTTCTTCAACCAATCTTTTAGACATCATAAACTCAAGACTCTTCATCATCTTGATTATTCTTTTCTGGAATTTCAATTTCTCAATGTTTTGCCTAAAAGTTGACACCCAGAACTAAACACAGAATACAACAGATCTAATACCTCCTTATTTTCAGGAACCATGCTGTGTAAATGTACACCAATGATTTTACACACACTCTTCCCATGCAATGGCGGGCATAATCAATGATTGATTCCAGACCAACAAACAGCCAATTTTTCAGCAATATGATTGATTTCAACCAAACTCTAAGAGACCTTTGCATCAAATGACTGTGTGAATGCTAAACAACTAATACAGGCAGGTAGAAATTAATAAAACCCCTTTTCAAAGCAGGAACAAGAAGACTCCCTACCTGGCATATCCACATACTCCTGTGGATTGGGCACAGAGTGTAAAATCAAAAGGCCTGTGCTTGAACCTGAACTTGGTCACTAAGTAGTCATATATATGAACATAAGTAAGTTGTTTAACCCTTTCCAAGCTTCAATCTCCTTATTTATAAAATGGGATCAGTAAAACTTGAACCATCTCCCTCATAAAGATGTTAAGGAAAACACTTTCTAAACTCTAAAGGGGTGTGTGTATGTGTGTGTGTGCATGTGTGTGTAGCAAAGTTATTATTATTATTGTTATTATTATTATTATTATTATATGGTGGTAGTGGCAGCAGCAGCAGCCTTAATTTTGTTAAAATAGTAAACACCAGCAGGGGGGTAAAGGCAGATTGCTCCTAGGAATTCTGGAAATTTAGTATGTACAAAAACAACATATAACATTAGCAAAATGCTATGAGGATGCGGGCTGAAGGTCCTCACTCTGGCTTTCAAAGGTTGCAAGTGTGTTGCTGGGGAAAAGGGAGTAACTAGTTCCCTAAGATTAGAGTAGAAAGGAAAAATCTGGTCCATGTGAATTAAAGAGCTAAAGCAGACTATTGTCTATATTCATGGTCTCTGCTTACAGACATGAAGAATAAAAAAGCAAAGAAAGCAAGCCTGTTAACAAGCATTAAGATTCCACCACGGTGGTGCTTGTTTTTTTCTGCTCTTCACCAGTCATTTTCACGTGAATCTCACCTCAAGGACGACCACAAGGAGGACACACAACAATCCTACTTACACTTTTGATCATCGTATAAAATGCTTGTGTTCAAAAATGACTTCTCTAGTAATTCTCACTAATTTTATGGGTATTTATTGTCACAAATATATAATGTGAGATACTTATTTTCAATGACTGAATATGTACAAGAATATATTTTGCATTATTGTAATTGACTTTTCTGACTACTACATGTATATTTGTGTGGCTGCATTTGTCAGAAGCAACTACAAACTGCGATAGCAGTCTATCACTGGGTAGGGGTTTTAGAATTTATCTTCTCTCACCAGCTATCGCAGTTATTGGCACAGCTTTAAACTTCACAGAAACATCTGCAAAAACTCCTCCTGTTCTTGTCACATTGATAATTGGTCCAATGTGATTTTCTGCAACTCGAACAATTGGCGCTGAGAGTTGCAGGGTTCCAAACGCATCATCATTGGCAAGGATAATTAAATGAGCAATGGTGTCTACCTTGGATCCTAGCCGTGGAGAATTTGGAACTGAAAAGTAAAGAGAAAACAATAAAAGTCCAATACAGCCTCTTAACCCAAGTACTCCATTCCTTGTGTGCTAGTAATGCTGGAAATAATCACTGCAATATCCATGACAGGATCAAAATTATGTAATATCCTTTCTTAGCTTGTTCCAGGGTCAGCAACAATGGAAAGCTAACAGCAGTACCTGTAGCACTGATCACAAAACACAACACAGATAATTATTAAGCACCATCTTGAGCACAGCACAGCACTAAGCACTGGAACACATAAAAAATTTAGCTAAGACAGAGTCGTCTGCCCTCAATCTAACAGGGAGATGAGAAACCAAAACAGAAAGCTGAGCTACACGGGTTTGTTTTGCTTGTTTGTTTTTAGTTTGGGCCTGGGATTTTATTGTTACAGGGAATTTCCAGGAAGAAAATTCTCTCTACTAATACATATCAATATCTGTGATTATTGTCTTAAAGGCCATGCAATTAATACGTGTCAAATGCAAGATTTGAAACTCAGGTCCTTCTAAATCTGAGGCTGGCTATACCCTACGTCATCATTCCTTTCATTACAAAATTATATGATAATTTCACTAGACATCTACAAAATAAAATTCTTTGAGGCAGATTGGTAAGGCCAAACTCTGGGCCATTTCTCCCAGGGAACCTTTCTTAATCTCCTTTTCTAGGGATGATCTGTTGATTAATTTTGCTAAGCTGCTTTTTTTCTGTTTTTTTAAATCTTTTGCTATATGGGATGGCTTCGTGGGTAGGGTAGAGGGAGGAATCAAATGTAATGCAAAAACAAAAAACATAAAAAATAAAATCAAATTTAAAAATAAAAGAAAAAAGCATTAGTATTCAGTTATAATTAACATATGAGACAATTCATATGTATTTTAAATAGAATAGCAGTAATACAGAAGTGTGTTAGTGTCTTGTCTATTGTCTTGCTTCTTCTCCATGTTTCCTCATTATTAAGCCAGATGTTAGCCCTGTCTTCTGACAATGCTCATTCTGCCCTGCTCGCTGGACCAGATATAAATCAATTAGTCTTCCAGCTTGATTTCATTTATGAGCTCTGGTGATTGGCCAATGCTTTCATGGAAAAAAAAAAAAGTAAGGAGCCTGAAATGCCCCTTCATCTCTCCCTCCCTTGAACTCTTTCTGTTCTTATGGACCAGTATTACACAATTTAGCTCTTAATTACTCCCTGGTTGTTTCAGAGATGATAGTTTTGGAGTTTTTGTTTTCTCTCCAGCTAAACACTCCCCCCCCACCCCGGAAGCAAAGATTATGTCTTACATGGATATACTGGCACATTCCCCATAGAACAATACATGTGTTCTGTTCTCTTTCAGTAGAATACATGCCTTAGCCAATTGCTAAGAGAGAGCCACCCTCAGCAATCCCTGACTGATCCATTTGTCCCCACAACTGGGGAACTACATCAAAGACATCTGGCCACATAGTCTAGAAGAAGTTCCCCCCGAGTATGTTATAAAAGCTGTAGAAGGGCTCCCCCTGACTCTCTTTCAGGCAACCTGAAGCTAGCAGAATTCCAAAGAGAGAAGGATGGAGTGTTTCTATTACCCTTATAGCCTCTTGGAGGTTCAGAGAAAGAACGTTCCTCCTTACTCTGTGATAAATCATCTTTGATGCAATCTCCCCTTTCAAGGAGATCAATGGACTAATCAAGGATTGCTGGGATGCTCACATCCTTTGCCAAGGGACCCACATGCATGCCTAGATTTCTAATACTCTGTACCCCAAATACACAATTCACTAAAGTTATATATTAGGCTCCATGAGATTAGGAACTATATCTTATTTACTGCTATATCCCCTCAGCTCCTGCCTAGCACACAGTTTTATAGATAGATACTCAAAGAATGTTTAACTGAATATTAAACGCTTAAATAAAGACTTGAATATTCCAGTATGATTAACTTCATACTACCTGATTTCTCAGCTAACAACTACAACCTGAATCCTTAACTTTTCTCTAGGAAAATTTTCTAGAGATTTTATTTTACCTTTATGATGAACATTTTATCAATACTCAATCATAAAGATCATTTTTAAAGATCACTATTTTTAGTCATAAAATAAAAAAGCCTTAAAAAACCTAAATTTTAAAAAATTAACAAATAAGGTTTAGATAAACTTTTATTAATTGAAAACTAAACTTACAGAATACAATTTGAATAATGAACTATAAAATACTGATTTTTTTCTTTTTTTTTTTTTCGAAACATTAGGCTGTACTCACACCCAGCACATCTTGTAACCATGTCTATGTAAATGCACTTAAAGTGTTTTGGTATATTTTTATATGTGTATATGCTGTTGCCTCTCCCCTCAATGAATGTAGTAGGCTCCTTAAATACAGGAACTATTTGAGTTTTGCCTTTGTACCCCACCACTTAGCACCATGCCTGGAAAGTGATAAGTACATAGTGATTGACTAATTAAAGTATTTTAAAATATATTTCCAGGAGGAAAAACATCCACTATTACAAGAATAATTGCACTCCTTTATTTCAGTTTCTTTGTAATTACAAACTGAGCCCAAGAGCCCTGAACTAAAAACTACCTCAAGGATTCTTATATTCAATTTATGTGGGCTTTCTGAACATATCAGTTTGACCTATATTACCCTAAAGCATCCAGACTTTACAGTAGCTGTAGACTGCTATTACTTCCTGTTCCACAAATGCATTTATATACATAAAATTACTTAATTGATATTTTCAGAATAAATGACTGAAAACATATAATAAAGATTCAGCTACATTCTGGGTAAAATAAGCATTTGGTGGTCTGGAACTTAACTATCTTAAACAAAATAGTTTCTATGGGAAAATGTATTTTGAGCTGCAAACTGACTGAAAATTGAACTTTTGAACATTATCCATTAAAAGGTGAGAGCTATATGTATTACCAGTTTTATGAAAATTTTCTACTCTCCTATTTATTTAGGATTTTTTAGATCTTTATCTAAAAACAGCTCAAGGAAGCATGGAAAAGCAGGAAAATTTGTATGAACTGATGCCTAGTAAAATGAACAGAACCAGAACAGTAGATACAAAGATAAAAAATGAAAAAAATGATGAAAAGGAAACATACTCCCTGAGTAACTGAAAAATCAGTGACAGTCCAGAAAACAGATAATGAAAAATGCCTCCCTCTGCCAGAGAAGTGTGAGATTAAGGAGTACTGCCAGATGTAGTCATTATAGTCGTTTTTATTTGAGTTTTTTATGTATTAAAGGGCAGGCTCAATCTGAAGAGGTTGAGAAGAAAAAGTTATTTTTCCCCAAAAGATGACTATAAGATAAAGACCAAAGGCATCAATATAACATATTTATTTTGAACTTGTTAGGGTTGCACCACAAAGCATAAGTAAAGCAAAAGTCTATACTTACTTGGTCGATCCTGTACTTTTTCTATTAATGTAACGTTGATCAGCTCAATAAACACAGATTCTGACCTCTCTGGTTCATCATCATCCAAAATTGGAATAATAACTGTTGCCTCACTCATGTTAGCTCTAAAAGTAGCAAACCCAGAAACAGGTATATAGTCTCTTCCCCGAGTTGCTCTGGGTAAATTAGGTGGAAAAAAAGGTGGTTTTTCTGTATCATCCATTGTTGCATATGTAACCATGACTGTTCCTATAAGACCTTTTAATCGTATTAAGGTGAGAGTAACATTCTGGCTTGCTTCTTCAACTCTGATTGGTCTGTTTTCCTCAGAAAAGATGAATACTCCATAAGGGTCATCACTGGCCAAAACTGTTAATGTAGCATTTGTATGGACTCCCAGGCAGCCATTGGAAACATTTATGATTAAAATGGAAAATGTTTTATCCAGCTCAGGAATTTCATCAGGCAGTATTTCCACAGTTATATTGGCACTTATCTGCAATATCTCAAAAGTGACATTGCCAGAAGTGAAGGCAAGGTCTCCAGATACATCAGAGGGAATGTTCCAATGCAAAGTTACTTGAGACAAAGCCCCATGGCTTCTCACAACCTAAAGAATATGAAAAAAAAAAAACCTCTTATCAAAATGTATATCATAATATGAGTTGCAAAATATAAGTCTTAGAATGATGAAAGGTTTTTCTAATATCAATGTAATGGCAACAAAATAGCAAACTTGAGCTTTCAAATCAAATATTCTAGTTTTTAATTAAGTTAAAGCTTGATATTTTCTTCAATTCTAATATACATTAGAAACAAACTAAATATGGTTAACTCAAATTATATTTATGATTATCATGTCATCTTTCTTGTTTTATTAATAGATTTTATTTTATTCTGAAATTAACAAATGCACAAATAAAGATATTTCCACGTATAAAATAAAGCAAAATAAAGAGGATTACATAAAGCTTATTTTTAGAAAAGTATATAAGCAAGTCAACATGTTACTTTCAAAGCTGTCCTGTTTTTCCTTCTAAACATCCTTCTGTTCTATTTTGTTAATTCTTTTTAGAAAACTGCTTTAATAACACTCTAAGGCAATCATACTTCTAATATTTATTGTATCATATAGCTGTACTTCATTTTAAACAATAAACATAGTTGTGAAAAGTTAGCTTTAAAAAAAATTTCTGTAAATCAAATCATACATCACCTGCCTTCAATTATAAAGTTATAAATATATTTGCAAAGAAACTTTGAGGAATAATAAACCTCATTCTTAAGAATGAAATATTTTATAAGTCTCCCATTAAAAGGAACAAAATTGTTTTCATCAAACAAATTAATGCTACTTACTACTCAACAGAATACCCAAATACAAGTATTTTATGGAAACTTTAATCATAATACTAAAAATTACATTCTCTTTGATAAGCTATAAGGAGATATACAAAAAAACCACACATACAGCACTGTAAGGTTTATACAACACTTTCCCAGTAAGAGGGTACTATATTGCCCAGTTTGCAGATGAGGAAGCCACTACATGGGGAGGTTAGGCTATTTGCATGGAATAACATAGCTAATAAACGTCACAGCCAAACTCAGGTCTTCTGATTCTACAAAATCATGCTGCCTTCTAGGTCTCTTTGGGTACCTGATCCTTAAATTTTAGTCTATGATTTTATCTGTCCTTTCCTTTGCCATGTACTACACTGGGTTATTTATTATGAGTGATCACTCCTAACCAGGTATATGGATAAAACAGCTAAGAACACATAGCAACGATTTCAGCCCCTTCTATGTCATATCTTGACAGAATGGCTTCATTAGACTATCTAAAGCCATGTTTATTTGCAGAATAGCAAGATTCCTTTGCATTTATTGCTAAGCACAAAAACAAACATCAAAGTCCACTGGAGATGATTTTTAAATCATTAATTTGGATCTATAGTGCTACCGTTTTCCAATAACACTATTAATGGAAACAAATTTGAGAACCAAATATTGTCTAAAATGTTACAAAATAAAATGGAATGAAATTTACTTGCCTTTAATGTAACTGAGCTCTGTCCGTCTTCGGGTTCACTTCCACTGACATGAAATGACTCTGGGCTGAACTCAAATACACCATGAGCATCATCTGAAGCCTCAATGGTTACTATAATTTGGGAAGCTATTCCTAAACTGGCTACATGTACCAGTTTAAAAAAAAAGTATAATGCTAATTAGCATTTTAGTAATAATGCTAGTATTTTACTTTCATAAAATACTTTAAGCATGTTCCTTATATTACCTTGTTTGATCTTCACAATAACCCTTTCAGGTTCAAGTATTGCCATTTTATAGATGAGGAAACAGACTCAGAAAGATTAAGTAATTTGCCTAAGGTCACATAACTAGTAAGAGATGAATAAACAATTTTTAAAGCTTCACTTTATTCATGCATCTAGTTCTCATTTGCTTGTAAAGAAATGCAAACATGGGACAGCTAGGTGGCACAGGGGATAGAGCATCAGCCTTGGAATCAGGAGGACCTGAGTTCAAATCTGGCCTCAGACACATAACACTCACTAAATAAAAAATAAAAATAAATAAATGCAAACATGCCATTTTATAACCTTTGCAATATCCATTTTGCAAAAAGGAAGATACAAAGTACATGAAAATATAAAAATAAATATATAAAATTTTGAGGTTTTTGCTCCATGAAAGAGAAAATTTCTCAGCAGAGAGAGTGTGGAAAAGGTCAGACACAATGACTATAATGAGAACATATATCAGTCAAATGGACTTAAATTCTAAAACAAGATCATCCCTAACTTTTTTTCCAATCCAGATGAAGCCCTTTCATTATCATCTTCACAATAATTATATCCTATCATACTAATATTATTATGCTATAATATTATATATCTTCTTGCGCATTTTCAAATATTTCAGGCCAAAATACCTACTACTTCCCAAAAAATTGTACTCAATTTTTGAGTGGTATTCCAACAGTTAGCCAGATAAGTGGCATACATGAACAGGTGACATAGTAAAGATATTGTACAAAGGAATGCAGAAAGTTGGAAATATTAAGGAAAAACATGACATGTGACTAGAATATACTCCATTGTATGAAAAAGAGTCCTGAGTTGTATGGGGTCAGCAAAAATGCTGTATGAAAACCCTACATTTGGAAAAACAGGATTCTAAGGAATAGAAAGTTTTCTCTTTAAAAGAAGAGGCAGAATGAGAATTTTCTCTCATATGACAGAAATATTTTAAATAGTAATCAGCCAATCAGTAAGTATTTATTAAGTTTCTACTACATGCTAGGCACTGTGCCAGGTTCTAGAAAGAAAACCGAAGTGCTATTCTGAAATAGCTTCAATTTTTAAAATTTATTTTTTAAGAGCAATGGCCAACTTCATAATATATTCTCTTGACTAGGTTCTTTTTAATTGATTTCTTTCACCCATATTGACTGTTAATGAAAAACAATGTTTCTCTATGTACAGAAGTTATAACAGAGCCCTTAAATTATAAAACATGTTCTCATTTTTATTTACCTTTTCAGGTATTAACATCATACAAAATTATACAGATTTCAAAATTATTTTTTGAATGAAACTTAATTCTAAAGGCCATATTTCTTATTCTGGGTCATTTATAAACAAATGTAAAATTGAATTCTGAAAATACAAAGGAAAGAAATGATGACAATCGTAATCATTTGTCATAAGCCAATTAAAAGTTAGACTCAGCAGATTTCAGAATCATAGTATTTGGAAGTAGAATTTTAAGTAGAAAACTATAGTAATAAAGGGGAGAGGATAGACTAAGATGCTTACCACGCTTGTGGATAGTTGGAAGGAAGAACTCCTCGTCCCCATCACCACTACCACTCCCATCAATCCTAAAGAGTTCAGCAACTTCAAGAAGAGAGGCACAGAATTGTGCAATTCACATATACACATTTATAGAACAGAGAAGAGATGGAAAGCATTTACTACATGTTCAGTCGAGAGGAGAAGATAGCATTATTCATGAAAAGCCCCCAAACTCTTTATCGAAAGAATAGCTTTATTACAAAGGAAGAACATAATATGTCATTCATAATCCCGTTACAGAGGGTTGGGAAGTAGGGTTGGAGGAGTTGCAGCACAAATTTGGTGTCAGGTATGGATGCTGTGGCCAATTCTGCAAACCTTCCTAATTTAAAAAAAAATTTTCTTATTTATAGCATGATACAGAAGTCCTAACCTGATGCAAATTTAATTCTTTTCAGAGAATCCTATATTAGAATTCCCTAGTCACAGGTAAGGAAAGACACTCATACAGTTCCTTAGATGCACAGATTCCATATTTTATACATCATAGACCTGGTCCCATATAGACCAGCACAAAGTGGGTACTAGCTAGATCTAGAAGGTCCACAGCAGAAGGACTGGGGCTATACAGTTATCCCTTCCACACCACGACTTTCCCCTTTATGGTTTCAATATATCATCGGTAGGCATAAGAAATTAAATGGGAATTTTGGGGGACTTTTGTGGAAGCTACAGATGACACACAAAGGCCAGCAGATGACACAGAAAAAGTTTTGAAATTCAGAAATGCATAAAATATACAGATAGTATATCATTATAATTTTATTTATATTTAATATATCATATTAATAATGCACAATTAATTTAATAAGTTAATTGATTAAAATTGTTTAAATTAATAATGTATAATAATAATACAATAAATTTATTTATCATATTATATCAACCCAAATTTTACAATAAGGTACTGTGAACACCCCATAAAAGAAAAAGAAAAAATTCAGACTTCTCTGGTACAAAAGGAAGGTCAAAAAACTTTACACAGATTTTCCAGATCACAGAGGTACCATACCCCTAAACCCCATGATGAAGAAGGGATAACTGTACTTTCTAATATCAACTCAGCTTACACTTCTGACATTATCCTGTAAAATGCAGACAAAGTATCAGGATCTCCAAAATCTCCCAACTCTTCCACCTCTGCATGAGTATCACTTCTGCCAGTGACTTGGCCTCGCCTGAAGCATCTTCCTCCAATTGTGAGTTCCTCCCAAGAACCTCCAGCTGAGGAAGTATCCATTCCAACCCTGCTCTTTTCTAATTTGGCTCAGTTCCCGACTCTTTGCACTTTACTTCTGTCTGGGGACACCTCCCTCCCTGCTTTTCATCTCCCTTTGACATGTTATCTTCCCCCCTCTCCCTGTCAGAAGGCAAACTCTAACCATAATTCCGAGACTTTCTTTTTTTTCTATTTGTATTCTTAGCAATTAGCACAGTAACTGACACATAGAAAGCACTTAATAAATGCTTTATTTAATCCAATCCAACCAAGGACAGGCAAGGCATGATAGTGGTAGGGGAGAAGGTTAGGTGTGAGCAGGAATATTTCAGTGTACAAGAACCTCTGGTACATATAAATTTTTTATATATATAAAAATTTTATAGTGACACATAGATTTGAAGATGGAAGAGACCTCAGAAGTCATAAAATTCAATTCTCTCATTTTATAACTGAAGAAGTGAAGATTTAGGAGGTTAAGCGACTTTCTCAAGATCACATGGGTAAGCATCAGAAGCAGGATTTGAACCCCGGTCCTCTAATTTTAAAGTAAGAGTTCACTCCTCTCTACCACAAAGAAGTTATAAAATCTATGACATCCTTTTCCTTCTTACTAATAATGCATTAGACAACAGAAAGCCCTAAGTTTCTTAACAACCAAACAGACCTCTCTGTAAGATAATCTTACTTACAAAGTGGCCCCACTTAATGTCCTATGCAATATATATATGTATATATGTGTATATAACTATGTGTGCATACATATACATACACATATATGTGTATACAGACATGTATACACATATGTGTATATGTACAATGTCAATTACAAAGACATTTTTCTTCAAATTCAATCATAATTGCATTACCGAAGATAAAAAAGTTTTGTTATTGTTGCCCCATTCACCCTTATACAATGCCATAAGCCTCTTCTTTTATGCAAGTTCTTACACTGAAAAGGTAGTTTTTGTTTGTCTAAATGCTCACAGGGACGGTAAACAGAATATTTTTGCTATATGTTATCATGTTTTGAATTTTTTAAAGAAAAAAGGTAGATAAATCAAAGTTGTCAGCATCGCTATTACAAATAGACAATGTTCTTTTTTCTGGCTTTATTATGTAAGTGTTTAAGTGCTTTGGGTTATTAATAGAAGATAATTTAACAAATACCATAGCAAGTATTGACCTGGCAATCATCTGCATGTCTTACTATCTTAGAACCAGCTTAAGTATAGAAATATTCATCACCAGAAAGGTGACCTATGGGTGATGCTTCTTTTTTTTTTTTCAACCACAGTAAACTCATGCAGACTATCCACAAAGGCAGAGAGAGGCTGCAATTTAATTCAATAGAGAGTGTATCCACAATGACAAAATCATGGATTCCTGAATTAAGCATAGTACATCCACTACCCTTAAATGTCTTTTTTTAAATGAAAACTTTACCAGAAAAATAACCAAATGAAATAGTGAAAAAGAACCACTTGAACAAAGGCAAAGTAGATCTTTTACATATTGCTTAGAGCCATAACTAACAATTTTTGTGGCCAGGGTAAATGACGCTAAAAGTTCCCTAAAGGAGAATTTGAGGCATGGGGAGTAAACACTATCTGGTAACCGCTTCCTATTTTAACTAACTATTCTTGCTAACTAGGTGCTATACTTAGTCATTGTTAGGCTGCTGCAGTAATTTCTTGCAGTATCCTCTAAATATTTGTTCCTTGAGGCAAAGTGCCATTTGCCCTTCCCTAGTTATGGCTCTTCTGCTTTGCAGACTGGCCACTTGTCATTTATTCACTGTAAACAAACCCCTCAGAATTGCTGCTGCCATTCTCCTTACTTTTAATTGTTGCTTTGTCCTCTTTCCCTTACAGGGCATCAGGAATACTGTGAGGAAATTCTCCTTAAGGAAAGAACAGTGTATTTTCCCCCACTTCCCTGCTTTTTATGAGTACAAACACATGAACATGTTTTTATCTTCCCAATATGCTGCTTTTACTTGAAATGAGGTCAATTATAATATTAATCTTATTTTTTGTTTAGATAATTTTTCTACCATAGACCTAATTTTCAACAAAACCATAATTTTCCCACTTGCATATATACTATGTCTGGTGAGAGAGGCAAACAAAAGTTGCTACCCAGTAGCATGTTTTAAGTGTGTATATGGACATGGGCTGTGCTATTCCACAAATCATACAAGGAGTTATTGTGAAAGTGACAATAAAATTCGGAAGTTCTAATGTCATCAAGAAACTGCTTGTGAATTTGGGCATCTCCTTGTGCATATTTCTAGTCTTGTTCCCTAGCAGGATGAATGATGTGGTGATCAGGAGAATAAAGTTTGTAAGTATAGATTTGAAGCTAATGCTATGAATTACATCCAGACTTTGCTGTCTTTTAGTGAAATTACACTTTCACATTTTCAAAAGACATTTCCCTCAGGTCAGCAGTGACATAAAAAGATCTAGCACAATAGCTAATGGACTCCTAGTATAATGTATTCAATAAAGATTTTTCAACCCAAAGTATTCTATTTTCTCAACACAAATACAAACATCATAAACAATGATTGGTCCATTTGCTAATATAGAACAATGGCTTGTTTAAAAGTAGTTTTTAATTCTAAATTTAGAATTTAGATAGCTAGATAGATGGTTTTAGGTAGCAAGATAAATTATATAACAGACATTTTAATCCAAATTTCTTAAATCATTCTTCAGTAAATCCAGGATCTAGACTCTTTTCAAAGACAAACAAATTCACCAAAGATTCTTAAAGAAACATATCTGCGTTTAATTTAAAATAATTAACCACTTTAATAAGATCTATATATTGCCTTTATGGCCTGAGGATAAATCTTAAAAAAAAAAAAACAACTTTTGATGTCTAATCCTTACCTCCTCCCTCTGAGTTTAACAACTCAACTTTAAAAGACTTCTCCAATTCAGGAATAGAATTATCTGTGACATTAACAGTAATGTATTTGTATCTTTCCCCTGGTTGAAATTCTAAGGTGCCTGAGGTATCCTGAAATAAAAATGTAAAAACAAAAAACATACATTTACCCTTTGGCTTATATTCATTCCTTTTATGTTTTTAAACAAATGAGAATTTTTGCTATTCCTGAAATTACTATTGATGCTGCAACATATGTACTGAAGGTGTATAAAATAAGGATAACTAGAGCTCAGCACAAATTTTAAATGAATGTCCTCTGGCCAAGTTAGAGTGGAAGGATTTTCATTTTCTATGTTCTCTTATTTACAAGAGAATATTCAAAGTCACAAAGGAATACTCAACAGGAGACTTCCATAAGCCACTAAATAATTAAAGTTATGGACTGCAAGACATTCTCTTTACCAAAGACGTTTGGAAATAAGGCATTTAGAAACACATCTACTCAGCATTTTGTTATATTATTAATGATATTTTTATTATGCGAATCTTTTCAAGAAAAAAGAGCAATATATTTTATTTGTAATCATCCCATGATTCCATCTACCATGGGTATTCATTTATAGAAGGGGTTACTATCCTTCAGAGTATTATGCTCATTATGAACAAAATAGAGAAGTATGCTAAATCTCTGTCCGGAAGTCTTAATGTTACAATTTGAATTTGACCCTTTCTTAATTGGCTAATTGACTCAGCTCACCCCACTCTGCATCTGCTGCTCTGCCTGGTTTCACGACACTAGCTGCACGGGTAGGGAACCTTTTACTGAATCCTTTGTCCTTCACAGGACAAAGTTTGGATTCAGTCAAAGGGCCTCACTTGAGGACTTAGAGGGCCACATATGGCCTCGAGGCCACAGGTTCCCCATCCCTGCAACTAGAGTAAAGGAGTACCAACCTCCTCCCAATGCCTTCCTTTATTGAGGGCAGAAACTAGACTCTCAACTTACATCACTTTGCATCTGCTACTCTGCCTGGTTTCAACTCCATGGAATAAGATGCCCCAATGTCCCATTTCCCTCATCTTCTGCCTCCTTTTGTACATTATCTCCCCCATCAGATTGTAAGCATTGAGGGCAGGGACTGTCTTTTTACTAATTGTATCCCCAGTGCTTAGCATAGTGCCTGGTACATAGAATGCACTTAATTAATGTTGATTGAATTGGATTGTAAATAACAAAGTGACAGATTATTTGAGGAACAAATACCCAGGTTATTATTTCTTTTTCTCCTAGTATCAAGTTGAAAAATCACTTACAAATAATTCAAGGTTAACAAAATGGGATTTTGGAACTAAAGGTCTAAAAGCTCAATTAAGGAGCACATTATTGACATATGATATATCATTACACAAAGCTACAGATGAATAAGTGACTTGAAATCACTGAAATAGTTCATGATCATGGTAACAGCTAACAAATGCATGCTGAGGATCAACATGAAAGGCTGGGCAACAGTTCTTTCATTCTGTGCCACTGTTTTTGAAGAAGCAGTGGTATAACACATAGAAATGGAAGGCCGCATATTACTTAGAAAACCACAAACTAAACTTTAAGTTTAAACTAAAGTTTAAAATGTTAAATGAAAATGTTAAATGACCAACAAAACAATAGAAGCAAAGCTATCAATGACTTTTGAAAAAGAAAAGGAAAATACTTAAAGTTATAGGCCATTAATATTATTTAACACTAATTACAAGATTTTTGCAGAAGTCTTCCTGTAAATCCTACAAGAATAGCATAGGAAATGATACTCAAGCAATCAGTGAACAGGCATTTATTAAGTGCATTTTATATTCCAGGTACTATCCTAAGCAAGGTACTATCCTAAGAAAGGAAGAAACACAAAATAGTTCTTGGCCTCCAGAAGTTTAATGGGGGAAACAACAATGTGTAAATAAATCCAGATGGACAAGAAACATCAAGTAGAAAGAAGAAAGGGGAAGACTCAAATGGACGAGGGACTGATAAAGGCTTCCAAAGAAGTTGGTATTTGAACTGAGTCTTGAACAAAGCCAAAGAATTCAAAGAGGCAGAGAATGAGGAGGGAGAGAAGGAAATATGAGAACATTAAAGATGTCACATTAATGGACAAGACAATGAGAAATGTGGGCATTTACTTTGGAGGGAAGAAAATTTTACAATATTTCAAAATTAGAACAAAGTTATAAAGAAATTAAATATGTAAAAGAATTCAGGATTACTAAGAAACAGGGTTAAGATTGATTAAGCAGTTACTATTGCCAGTTGTCTTAAACTTTAATTAGTTCTGCCATTAGCAAGGTGTGTGTAGTTAGCTGATGGGAGCTGCTGTTATGACCTTCGAAACAATAGGATACATAGAATAAGAAGGCAGCTCTGTCAGTGGAGCAAAGAGGCCTAGGCATGATCAGTGTATAATTGTTTTATGTTAATATTTTCCTATTTTGTTTTTAGTAAGGACCAAGGTGATGACAACTGAGAGGCAGCCTCAAATTTCTCCTCCCCAAGTTAAATAAATGGTGTCAAGGAAGTGCTTTGTTGAAGAAAAAAAAATTCAAAAGGACAGGGTGGTTGGTCTTTGTGTTAATCAGGGTTCTGAAGCCTTTCCAAGTTGTTTGTCTTTATGATGTCATTATAGTATAATTGTTCTCCTGGTTCTGCTCACTTCATTCTGCGTCAGTTCATGAGTGTTCCTAGCTACCAATGATGAAGCATGCTACCCACCTCCTGATAGAGAGGTAATAGGAACCAGGGTGTAGAACTGCACGGTCTATGAGGGAACTTATTTTGCCTAACAGTGCATATTTGCTTCAGGGTGTTGTTGTTGTTATTGTTGCTGCTGTTGTTTTTTATAATGGCAATGGGGTAAGCAGGAAAGAAAATAGATTATAGTTAATTGAAAATTATTATATTAATTTTAAAAATAAAGGAGAGGTGGAGAAGATGATAGAGTAGGGCACAAAGACCAAAGAACTAAAAAGAAAACCTGGGAAGGTAGTAGGAATAATAAAGTAGATAAAATATAAATTGATGGGCTTAAAAAGGAGCACTTTAAGAAAATATTGAAGAAGCTCCAGGAAATAAAGAAATTGGAAGAAAAGATAAATGTCACTTAGAATATTTCCCACAATAAACTGTTGTTTTAACCACCTTAACTTCCTGGGTTGGAGAGAACATTTAACCAAGAGAAGGATGTGGGGAAGTGAAGAAAAAGAAACAGTCTCTGAATGTTCAACAGCAAAAGATTTGGAACCAGTTATATATGATTCCAAGAAAAAGCAGACAAGCAAAACTTACAAAGAAAGATCTTTTGGGGTCTCAACAGAAGAAGAAATAAAGAAAACCATGGCTGACGCTTGCATAGTCTTAAAACTTACAAAGCATTCTCTATACACTATCTCATGTGATCCTCACAAAAATCCTAAGAATGTAGTATTAGAGGTATTTTCCTCTTTTCAGAGATGAGGAAACTGAGGCTCACAAAGTGATTTGCCCAGGAACACACAGCTAATTAACTGTTTTGGAAGTATGATTAAAACAAGGATCCTTCCTGGTTCCAAGCCTAATTTAGGTGCTCTTTCCACAATGTAACACTGCCTCTTATCTGAAGAAACTACTTGATGGAGGAGAGAAGAGGAAAAAGACAGTGACAAAACGCTGTGGCTAATGATATCTCCCACATACTTTGTTTTGCAGGGCCAGTAAGTGGGGTTAATATACTCCTTGCTCTCCACTACCACCAATTCAATGCTTGACCATCCTAAACTTTTCCTCCTCCAAAGTTTATATACTGTTTGTTCCAGCTCTCTCCAATCCTTGATGCTATCATCCACCAAGTTCCCTAACTTCCCCAAAGATTTTAAGACTTGATTGATGGTCTTCATCACCCACTTTCTTGCTGTCACCCTTGTCAGTTTCAGTACTCATGTAACAACCTCTCTAGCATCCTGACCACAAAAATTCCTCAAACCAACTACTTCCTTCTCCATTGTTAATTCAGCAACACAGTGATAGACTCAAAATTCACCTTTGCCCATGATATAAAACTAAACCAACTCCAAAATTCCAAACTTGGAAATTGATGTCTCACACAATTTTCTATGCTTTCAAATCTTCCACTCCTCCACTCACACTAAAACTGCTTCTTCTCTCATCATTTTTCCTCTACCTATTTGGACTAATGCCTATTTTTCCCAATTCTTCTCCCCAACTTAATTAGAATGAACTAATTCTTTAATGATTCACTAATCAACATGCAAAAGTCCCTGTACCTTCCCACTATCTCCTCCACGTTCCAACATTCTTGACTATGTGTGTAGAATTTTATAAAATTAATGTTATTAGTTGGTTTTGCTGAGCTGCTTCTCCCTACCACTTTCTTTTCAAAACAAAGGAAATATTTTTAGGTAGAAGAGGGGGAAGGATATATTTGAAATGAATGTGATGTCAAAACTAAAGGCAGTAATAAATGTTTTTAAAGAAGAAATATCAAAAATGCTAAGCATAAAAATGTGTAATGAAGCAAAATGAACAGGCCAGAAGGAATAAATATATTACAGAAAAGAAGAAGGAAAAATAATTTCAGGAAAGTCAATGAAAAGTACAAAGTACTAGATTTATCAGAAATTAATATAAAATTTGTGGGTGTTAATGTTGCAAATTTTGTTTGGTGGTCGGGAACAAGTTATTAATATGTATCCTCTGAAAACACATTGTGTGACTAAATCATGGTAATTTAAATGAGAATTTAAGTGCAAGTACCTTTATAAACATAAAGCACTTTGTCTTTATAATGTGGTTGTTACAGTATAATTGTTTTCTTGCTCCATGCTTCTCACTTCACTCTGTATCAGCTTATGAGTGTTCCTCACTCCTAGCTACCAATGATGCAGCATTGTTTTAGGTAATATTTAGTTAAATTTTATTATTTTTATTATTATTTAATATTATTTGATTATTAATTGACACTATTTAAGTGATATTTTGCACATTGGTATTCAAAAGTACTTTAATCTACCCCCCCCCAAAAAAATAGAAACAAAAACAAGCATAAGGCTGAGGGTGCTTTGCGTTCTATTTTACATCCTCATCTACTTACCTGATAATCGTTGGGACTAAATGCTGTCAATGAAACTGTTCTGTATTCCACCATCACCCTTCCCAGAAGACCCTGTGCCCGAACTACCAACAATTTAACTTTTCCATCTTCTTCCTTCACGGTCACGTGTGGGATATTAGTTGTAGGCAGAGTCATCTTATCATCAGGCTGAGGAGGCATTCCCACAGAGAACTGAAGTAAGCCTAACAAATACAAAAACACCATCACTTACATCCTCACAAATGTCACATTAGATAGATTTCATTATTCATTTTAAATGAATACCTGTGTTTTCATCCATTAGCTAAATGGAAGTATTTGGAGCAGGTAAATGGCATAATGGGTAGAGCACTGGATCAGGAGTCAGGAAGACCTCAATTCAAATCATCAGACACTTACTAGTTGTATGACTCAGAGCAAGTCCCTTAACTGCTTCTAGCTTCAGTTTCCCTATCTATAAAATAAAGATAATAATAGCACTACCTTATAGCATTGTTATGGGGATAAAATGAGATAACATTTGTAAGGTGCTTTAAAAACATTAAAGCACTATATAAATGTTAGCTACTACTACTACTACTATTACTACTACCACTACCACCACTACTACGACTACTACTACTACTACCACCACAACCACCCCCACTACTACTACTACTACTACTACTACTACTACTACTATCACCATACTATTATTATTATTACTACTCCTACTACTACAACCACTATTATTACCATTACTACTATTACTATTATTACTAAATTATGAGGGCAACTGGGTGGCACAGTGGATAGAATGCCAGTCCTAGAGACCTGAGTTCAAATCTGGCTCAGACACTTACTAGCTAGCTGTGTGACCCTGGTCAAGTCACTTAACCCTGTTTACCTCAGTTCTTGATCTGTAAAATGAGCTGGAGAAGGAAGTGGCAAACCACTCTAGTGTCTTTGCCAAGAAAACTCCAAATGGAGTCACAAAGAGGTGGACACAAGTGAAAAATGACTGAACAGCAGCAACAACAACAATTACTACTATTACTACTACTACCACAACTACTACTACTTTTTAGTCATTTTTCAGTCATGTCAGACCCCATTTGGGGTTTTCTTGGCAAAGATACTAGAGTAGTTTTCCATTTCCTTTTCCAGCTCATTTTACAGATGCGGAAACTGAGGCAAAAGGGATTAAGTGACTTGCCCAGGATCACACAGCTAGTAAGTGTCTGACGCCAGATTTGAACTCAGGAAGATGAGTCTTCCTAATTCCAGAACCAATGCTCTATCCAGTGGGTCACCTAGCTGCCCCACTACTACTACTACTACCACTACTATCACTATTACTACCATCGCTACTCCACCACTACTGCTATTACTACCACTACTACTACTACTATTACTACCACCACCACCACTACTATTACTAGTACTGTACCATTAAACTACCATCAAAGGGCTATCTCATACAAGAAGAATTAGACTTGTTTTACTTGACCCCAGAGGACAGAACCAGGAGCAATGGGCAAAAGTTTCAAAGAAGAAAATTTAGCCTTCATATGAAGTAAAATTCCTAATAAGCAGAGCTATCTACCAGTGGAATGGGCTGCCTCAGAAAGCAGTGCAATCCTCTTTACTCGAGGTCTTTAAGCAAAGGCTGAACATACATGCTCAGGTACTTTGCAGGCAGGGGTGTGCTGGAGCCAGCTCAACATGGATTAGAGAAACAACTGTTAAATTTTCAATATGAGCATTTATATTTTGGAAATCAACAAATGCCACAAATTGGGGCTTGATTTATTGTTTTGTTAATTGTCCAGACAATGTGATGCAAAAGTTATTAATAATGCAGACTAAACTTTAAAACGTGCTATGCCTACATTTTTTTTTTTGGAGAACCTTAGCCAGGCTGGTCCTCAAACAACAGATATACAGTGAAAATCTTTCCATTTTCAAAGGATCATCTGGAGCTTACTCACTCCTGGTATAGCCTTTGATGACCCAGAGTCATTTCTCCATTACGATGACATATCGGTGGAGGGTATTAGTGGAGTTTCATTTTAAATAACATATAATTAATATGCAATATGAATAATAGGATGAGATACCTTTCAGATATGCTGTTTTCCCATAGAATGTGAGCTTCTGGACAGCGGGGACTGACTGACTTTTCTATTTATATCTCTAGCACTAAGTATAGTGTTTTACATAAAGTGCTTCATTCACTCATTCATTTGGTGATCTTTTCTCCAAACAGCAAAATTCAAATAACTCAAATTTAAATCTGTTCGAAAACAAGAATGTCTGAACTTAAGTCAGACGGATGTTTGCTTAATTTTACAACCACAATCAACATCAACTATCTAAGATCAAATTACTCGAATCCAAAAAATTCAAATAATCAAAAAGTATTTGGAATTTGTTTTTAGCTCTGGTTTTATGAGAAGTGGCAACACACCTTGTTTTAAAGGCCTCACTATAAAGACTTGGGGAGATGGAAGGCCATCCAGCTTTGTTATTTGGCTCCCAAATACAGAATCACTTAATATTAGAGCTGGAACCTTAGAAATCACCTAGCATAAGCACATTATTTGACACATGAATAAACAGGCTTAGAGAGTTTAAGTGACTTACTGGTTGATTAAAGAACTGAACTTAAAGCTCTTAACTCCTAATCCAGTGCCCATTTCACTAAACTACAACATTCCTTTACCCTATTGCCACCCCATTACCTGACCTCAATCTTCTTTCTTGCTCTTGTTGTCCATGACCAGGTTAACAGACTTTCAGAGGGATAACCCAGGAAATTTCTCTAGTTACTGAAAGACTATAATAAGAGACTCCTTAGGTCTCTAAAAAACCTTCACTTCTAGTTCCTGCTGGATTTTAGGTTACACATAAAAGAAAGGAGACAAAACAGAAGTACAAAGGAAAAGTAGTATCTATAGATAATCTAAATTTTTAAAAATTTAGTTTTTGAAAGCTTAAATACAATAAATTACAATTTTACATAAAAGCACTATTTATTCATATGTGTTTATATGCATGTCATATATTTATATAACTCAGGGATGTAGCTTTATAGTTGTTCATGTAAAAGATGACATTCAAATTAGACGCTTAAGTGCTGAGTGTCCAAATCAGAACTTTTCCTTCTGTCACTTAGCAAAACTTTATTTGACAAATCTGAAGCCTAAACACAAAACAAAGGGTGATTTCTGAAAAAGGTACTACCATATGGATGGTCACTGGCTTTGATGGTGATATCTGTCGTTTCCTTTTCAACATCTATGCTTGCTCCGCTAGTTGGAGTGGAACCTATTTTCCCATCTCCAGGAATTGCAGAGACCAGTGTTACCCGGAAATACTCATTAAGCTCTGGGATGTCATCATCAATAACATAGAGATTCAAGACCTAGAATTATAAAAAGTCAGAGATGTTAGGTTAGGAAACATGGATATTACTCCCCAAAGAAAAAGCAGTGATCTTTAAACCACACTTAATCTTCTTAGTTACTTATTATTGCAATTCATTTCTACCCCAAAACGCTTGTATTCAGTGTTTAAATACATGTGAACCTTGGTCTCCTAATTAAATACCTCAAATAACTACACGGGGCAAAGTATAATCTGTCCAAAAATGTTAGATTGCTCAGAATGTGTTACCAAACTGGGTGCCACTAGGTACCACAGTGGAGAGAACATGGGATTTGCATTCAACCTGAATGCAAGTCTTCCCTTAAACATTTAATATCCATGTGCCCCCTAAGATGTGACTTAACTCATGTCTACTTTAGTTTCCTCAATTTTAAAATGAGCATAATAATAGCACCTCCTTCACAAGATTGTTGTGAGTATCAATTGAGATAATAGTATTTGTAAAGAACTTTGCAAACCTTAAAGCACTACGTAAATTCTAGTTATTATTATTTGTATCATCATGATCTCTAGTATTATTATTAGAGGGTACAAATCTAGGAACTTTGAAATAGTTTTCTTCTGGGCAAACCTGTACAGAATGAAAGCAGATCCAAAGGAAGACATGAACACGAAGGTGCTAAGGCAAGACTGAAGTTTTATATCTTGGAGGGAATATCAGAGAGCTTGCAACGGATCACACACAGCAGGCATGTAATATGTTAGTAGAACCAGACTGAAGCCAGACAGAGAAAATTCCTCTTAAAGCTATAACTAATTTGAATTTTTTTTTTATTTTTAGGCAATTGGGGTTAAGTGACTTGCCCAAGGTCACACAGTTACTAAGTGTCAGGTCTGAGGCCAGATTTGAACTCAGGTCCTCCTAACTTCAGGGCCAGTGCTCTATCCACTGCGCCACCTAGCTGCCCCCTAATTTGAAAATTTGATGTTAATTCTGAATATGCATTTCATAAATGTTTAGGTCTTCTGCAATTGCCTTTTATGAGAATTAATTATGTAGTTGTATATGATAATATAAAATTGTATTGTTTAAAGTATTGGTAAGCCCTGTCAGCTTCTCTAGGCAGTTTTCCTAAAATTTTAATTACTGTTTCATGTAAATCTCAATGTATTCACAGTTACAAACCTGGTAGGTGCTTCATACGATTTTAGAGTTAGAAAGGGCCATAGGTGACTAATGTGAGAATTTGTCATACTGGACCATGTGGGTATGTTTTGAGATTTTTTTTTATATATGCTTAATTGGGGGATGAATGAGGGTGGTAAGAGGGACAGATTAATTTTAAAGGAGGGTAATTAATATATTTGTTATTGAAAATAATAATGAACCCTGTGTTATTTGTATGAAATAAAGTATCATTTAATCTGAATTTGAGGTTTACTTCTTCTAATGTTCCATCTGTTAATTCTGAACTGTAATTCTCACATTTGGCTTTCTTATTTGTAAAATGGTTATCATAATGCATGTTATCCTTACCTTATGGAATTATTGTGAGGATGAAATAACAAAACATGTTTTTAAAACCTCAATTTCCAATAATGTAGGAAAGATCAGTTATTTTTATTATTACATTGGCTAATTTTCCCTGGAACAATTTGCTTGTATAACTTGTAAATCACTCATTGCTCAATACGTGTCACTTTGTATCCTGGTACATATGACCAAACCTGTACCTTCACCAGTGTGAAAATTCTATGAAGTATTTCAACTGTAGACTTGTTCTCTTTATTTTAAATATACTTTTTTGGTTCCTAATATTTTGAGAAAGGTAATTAGGAAAGAGTTGGAGCTTACACGTAATTCTGGGTGTTAGCTTTGTCCACAGTGCTTGGCATAGTTTCTTACAAAGAATAGGCACTCAATGAATATCTGCTGCTTGTGATAAGCTATGATTATTTATTTAAGATTATTGTTGTTAAAGTGACCTTCACTTTAGAATCAGGTAATACTGCTGGTGGTGGTGATAGTGGTTCGTGGCCACCATGTGGCCAAAAACAGTAACTGCTTTCAGTGGGACTGAGGCCAATAACTGCAGGCATAACGATACAATAAATAATATATAGAAAAATAAATTTAAAAACTAGTTAAAAACATAAGGGACAAAACTTCAGGCAGTATATTCTTCCCAAATGAACCAAAGGCAGTATATTTTTCCCAAATGAAACTCAATGTTTTGGCCCATTCTGGGAAGAAAAAAAAACTTCCACAAACATCTTTTTCTGATACCTCATCATGGGATGCCAGCAGAGCAAGCTCTGGTAACTTCTACTAACATTCTGTCACAATAATTGGCTAATTTTTACCTTAGGGACAATATAATTATCTACCACTCCATGGGGTACCCTCACCTCATGCTTTAGGGAGTTTATGTTAAACAAAAAGTTAGGAATGTAATCATTACTGCTCCAAAACCCTAGTTAGGAAAATTCCTTATATTTAGGGAGAGATTTGGTTCTTTTCCTTAATTTACATTTATATTTATCTCTTACTAATCCTTGGTCTCTTTGAGGCTAGATCAAAATACAGGGTACCAGAAACATTTGGTAAAGGAGTAGCAGAGTATAGTACAGCATCTGTTAACAGTAAGGGACCAGGAAGGGAACTTGGGTAAACAGCAGACATTTTCTTAGAAATTCCCTTAGTCTTTGAGGAGGGGGATACCACTTCAAGTAGAAGCCCACATCTTCTCCTCTCATTTACATTCCTGTGATCATCATTGTGGCTCATTTGAACTTGAATTGTTTCTTTCTGGAAGCTTGCAGTATTTTTCCTTAGACTTGAGAGCTATGGATTTGGGTTATAACATTCCCAGGACCCTTCCTTTGGAATTTCTCTCAGAAGGTGAAGTCTTTCTATATTTTGCCCTCTGGTCCTAATAAGTGTGAGTATTTACATACATGCATACATATATAAGTATTTACATATTTACTTACATACAATCATTTACATAATCATACACACCTATATATAGTGACTTAAGTGACTTCTGAAATACAGTGTTTAGGTTTTTTTTTTTTAATCATGGTTTCCAGGGTGTGCAATGTATTAAATTATCTCTTCTTGATCTCTTTTCTAAGGCAGTTGTTTTTTAAATGACACCTTACATTTTTTTTTACTTTTTCAAACTTTTGATCTTATTCTTAACAATCCTTATTCTCTCATGGAGTTATTGATTTTTGTTTGGTCCATTCTAGTTTTCAGGGAGCCCATTTCTTGGACAAGGTTTACCACTTTCTCTTCTAAACTTTATTCCAATTTCCTTCCAATTTCCAATTTCCTCCAAGGTTTATATTTCATTTTTTTAAAAACTCTTGCTTCATATCTTCTGGGTATTCATATAGTAATTGTGGGAAATCTATTTTTCATACATAAAAACAATTTTAACATTCTTTTTTTAAAGTTTTGAGTTCCAAATTTTATCACTCCCTCCCCTCCTTTCTCCCTGGTAGGACAAGTAATTTGATATAGGTTATGCATGTGCAAGCATGTAAAATATATTCTCATATGAGTCATTTTGTGGGGGGCAAAACAGAAAGAAAGAGAAAACTCAAACACTTTGGTCTATATTTTTCTGAAATCATCCTGTTCCTCATTTCTTATAGCATAATAATATTCCTTTAAAATCACATACCAGAGGGCAGCTAGGTGGTGCAGTGGATAGAGCACGGGCCCTGAAGTCAGGAGGACCTGAGTTCAAATCCAGCCTCAGACCAAACACTTGACACTTACTAGCTGTGTGACCCTGGGCAAGTCACTTAACCCCAATTGCCTAAAAATAAATAAATAAAATTACATACCACAACTTGTTTAGCCACTCCCCAGCTGATGGGCCTCTTCTCAGTTTCTAATTCTTTAACACCACAAAAAGAGCTGCTATAAATATTTTTCTTCAAATAGGTACATTTCCCTCTTTTTTATTTAAATCTCTTTGGGACACAGACTGAGCAGACTTCATTTTACAAATGAGGAGACTGAGTGTAGAGAAGTAAAATGATTTTTCCAAGGTCATGTAAGTAGTGGCATAGCTGGGATTTAAACCCATGGGTCATAGTATTATAGATTTAGGACCAGAAGGAACTTCAGAGATCATCTAGTCCAAACACCATAGATGAGGAAACTGGGGCCCAGAGAGGAAAGTTCTTCGCCCTTTTTAGCTTTTCACAACCTGGGCTCCTTCTATCTTTTTTTTTTTCAATTTTTCACAAGGGATATGGTTCCATGTTGCCTTATGTGGCCAAATGACATACAAGATTTTAAGCCTTCACATAAGGTATCTTAGGCTCTCCAGATAAACTTCTTCTTACTTCTCCTGAAGATATTCCACCATGGCACCTACACCAGATCTCAGAGACCAGCCCTTCCTCAGGACATTCACTGTCTCTGGGTCAGCCCCATCCTGCAAGTGTGCAAACCACCTATTGTATTTCTTCCTCTCATTTCGGAACCAGTTATGGACCTGGCTAGCAGAGAGGTCCAGCTGAGCAGCCAGGGGTTTCACATCATTGGATGTGGGGTTTCTATTCACCTTGAAATGATCCACCAAGGCCTGCCATTGGTACAGAGAAAAGCGCACCCATTCTCTCCTCTTAATTTTGCAAGGGCCGACAGCATCCCTTCTGTCTTCCACCTCTTCCTCAACTGCAGGCAGGGAAGCAGGCAACATGTCTGGTTTGGCGGTGTGAGAAGTCAGCATCTCTATTGTTGCCAAGGTTGTGCCTTGCTTCACTGAGGCAGGACGGTCGTATCTGCAGGGCCTTTCCTGCTGGGGTGCATCCCTCCGGAGTACGCTGAGAGCTCATCTGGCAGTAAAAGAAACTCTTCAGAAGGTAAAGGACAATCAGCTTCCACTTGAGGGTGGGTTGCTGAAGTCTCAATGGATGCTTCTTTGGGTCCTGTGACATCCCTCTTCCTTTCCAAGTTGGAACTTTGAGAACTGGCACACATCTGAACAAATTCTTCCACAGCAAAGTCTGGAAAGGAGTTGTTGAGAGACAGGGCTATGTCTCTGGGCTCCATATTAATGAAAACAATGGACAAAAAAAAGTTAAAAGCCTTTGCTTCTGTACAACATGGCAGCTTGAATCATTGAGTGGGGCTAGTAATCTCTTTTTTTCTTTGCAATATAGATTCATTCTCTTCTTCTTTTGGAGGGGGGATAAAAGGATTTCTAGAGCTATAAAAACACTGGTTGATATTTTCTTTGGTTTATTCATTTCTCTAACTTTATTTCCCAAATTAGTGCTTAGGGCCAGGACCAGACTCTAGCCCTTGCTATACTTTTGGGAGCAGTGATCACTCCTACTTTGGCTCTCCCTGGGTCTCTTACTCTGCTGACCCCTACCTCCGGGGGTTAGGACCTCCACCCTGGATCTTTAATGTTCAGGGTGCTAGATCTTCAGAGACTTCCATAACATCTCAGTATCGAAGGCTATGGATTTAGGAGTCCCAAGCACTGGTGTGTTTCTGTTGGAGTACTACTGCACTGCCTTGGTTACAGTCACTTTCTGAAGCCTGTGAAGACCCCAAACTGGAGCTTTCCAACCATCCTGGGATTTTCTGAGTGGGGGTGGGGGAGCCTTCCGCTTTCAGTGCCTCTGGGCACAGAAGTTTACAGGCCATATGTATCTACTGGGAGGCTGTGGGCTTGTTTACCTGTGCCTACAGGGGCTTTGATGGTTCCTACTGCTTTGTTTACCCATGGGCTTCTGGCTGGATTTTCTGGGTACTTTTGTGGTAGAAGAAGTCACTCTTCAGAGATTTTGCTCTAAATGGGGGCTTTTACTGCATTAGTTTACTTGGGAAGAATTTTTCCCCCAACTTAGTAGCTGCCAGTGTTCACTGTTACCAAAGTAATATCACTATATAAATTCCCACCTTCTCTATGTCCCCAGCACTTCCCATTTTATCAAGGAAAAAAAATCTAAAAAAGATGGAAATATATTAATAAATATGCTATTTAGAAATAATTCTTTGAAAGATTAGTCCATTCAATAGCATACCCTAAACACTGAAACTTACTTTTAAACAAAAAAGGAAGGATAATAATGAAAAGTTTGATGTGGAAGTATAAATATCAGAATACAAGTATATTTTCTATTCTCAACTCATGAATGTCAGAAGTCAAATTTTAAGAAAAGAGAAACAACTGTGTACCCAACAATAAAATATCTTTGAAAGTCATATGACATGTAGTTGTATTGGTACTCAATATGTTTGAAAGTTTGCAAAGCACTTTACATCTGCTAATTCATTTGGTTTGAATAAGAAGAAATGGGAAATAGTAGACCCAAATAAATTTCATAGCCTTACCCTTTTCTTTCATATGAAAGTCCAAAAAGGACTGTGTGTGGGTTTCCATACCCCTTCTGTCTCCCCCTGAATATACACATGAACATAAAGAAAAACCTACATTATTTTAAATCAAATTCATATTGTTAAGTCCTTAAGTTCTGAAATAATAAGCTATGGAATTACATTAAAGCATACGTACACCAGAAAATTACATTACAGGAGACTTTCAAAGAAACAAATAATTAACATTAATAAGAGAAAGTAGGGTTTACCTCTGATCTCTGCCAAGGGAGGAATGTGATAGTTCCACTGGCATTAGCAAAATCATCAACAATGTAATTAATGCCAGTAGAATAGATCTGTGAAACAGTGTAAAAAACATGTACATAATCCAGGGCTCCCCGGGTTCTCTCAATGACACAGGATATGGTGGACCCCTCCTCTGCTATCTGAAATTAAATGAAAATTATTTTTAGATAAATGCTGATCCTAATAACTCAGTAAAGGAGACTGTATGTAAGAAAACCAGAAAATTGTTGTAAAATCTCCACCTTCTCATCAAAATTCAGCAATTTTCTGCTACCTATTTAGAAAATGGTACATAGACACATATATTCTGTGACAGAAATGGTGTACTTTGGATAGAATCTATTTTTACAGACACTTTACATGCTGATTCATGTGATAATTTATATAGATTCATGTATACCCACCCATAGAGAATTTTTTAATGGAATCTGTGATTTCATCATTGTAGGGAGCTCTTAATGAAAACTTTCCTCTACCAACATACACCAACATCTTCTTATGCAGTTTATGTCTTGAGAAAACAAAGCTGTTTGGGGATTCTACGTGCCTAAAGTCACATAGAAAGTATGTGTCAAAGATGGGGCTTTAACCCAGATCTTAATGATTCCAAGGACAATAGTCTATTCAATAAGCTACAGTGTCTCTCTGCCTTAATAAACACTGTTATTATACAATGATAGCTAACATTTATAGAGTGCTTACAGGCACTGTGATAAGTGCTTTAAAATTATTAACTCATTTGATCCTCATAACAACCCTGGGAGGTAGAAGTTACTATTATCCCTATTTTACATATGAGGAAACTGAGGAAAACAGAGCTTAAATGACTTGCCCATGACTTATGTAGTAAGCGTAGTAAGCTAGAAAGTATCTGCGACCAGACTTGAACTTGGATCTTCCTGACTCCAGGTCCAACACTTTATCCTATTTAGAATATGTATGGGAGAAGGTAACAGGAGGAAAATCATAAATATCTGGATGCTAACAGAAGCTATGGCCTCTGAAGAATATTGCTATAACATCTAGATTTCATTATAATTGGTTAAAGTTTTTAAAAAATTAATTTTAGTGTCTTATACAGTCACTTGTTAGGCTACTGTTTAACATTTCAAGTATTTCTGCCTTGTGGGAGATTGTATTGTAAGGACAACACCTCATTCCCCTTTTTATCCTTTACACTGCCTAGAACAAAACTTTGTGTACAGTAGGCACTTAATAAACATTTAACTGCCCTCTATTTAAACTATAATTTAAGATTTCTTATATTTTAAATCTAATACTTCAGTTTGTATAGCTTAAATCTATAAGCCTCATTTTTGAACAATTTTAGAGATTGATTTAAATCTTAGATATGCCCTATTATAAATCATTAAAATAAAATTAATTTGGTTACTCTAAGATGGATTCTATTCTGTTCTACAAAATGATCAAACTAGAAAGCTGAACAGCTCGTCCATAAACAGTAGGTTAACTGGTTCCACCAATTCAGAACTGAAAAAATTGTAGTAAAAGGAGAGTCAAGTCCTTCTGAAACCCAATCCTCATGCCAAAATTCACATGAAAATGTTCAACAATACAAAGAGGAGGTAATCAGTCAGGTGAGGGGGAAATAGGTGAAATGTATTCACTCAACCCAGAACACAAATATTGTATCTTTGATTTTATATTCCTTAACTTTCCCTAATTTTCATATTCTTGAATGAAGAGAGAGCTATCCTGACCTTGATTCAGGAAGACTTGTGTTCAAGGCTTGCCTCTGCTACAGACTGCTTGTGTGACCCTGAAAAGGTCACTTAACTTTCCAATGCTAGATATATCTCTCTAAAATTTACAGAACAGTTGCTGATCTGCATTGGTAAACAGAGTCTGGTCTTCCCTCACTACACAGATCTTGACAAAATAAAACACCAAAGGCTACAGTATTCCACCCATTTCCTACCTTTTTTTTCTTCCCTCCATTCCCAGAATAGAGGGAAGAAGAATAGAACCCAATTACCATCCTTTCTACATAGATCCATTCCCCTGGTGCTAATCCACTATGTTCTGCTTCTACAACTATCCCAACCTACACTAACTCAAAAAAAAATCTAAAAGTAAGTTTTTCTGAGTCCCAAGACTCCCATCACAAGGTCAGGCTAAGCAGTATTCACATGCTCAAACGGTATCAGTAGGAATTAATAGAGAGAAAAAATGATGTTGGTCAAAAGATAATGCTACAGGGATATTCTGAAATCTACACATTTTTATTAAACAACTTTCAGAATAAAGGAACATGTTGTCGTAAACCTTGTGAATCCATTATATTTATTACAAAAGTTCAGTGGGTCTGTGAATTTAAATCCTGTTATAAAAAATGTTTTATAATCCAGATTTTCAAGAAGTAGTAACATTTCTTATTAAATAAATGAATGAGACAGCAATCCACATATGATTCACCAGCTCTGACACTTTTCAATACCAAAGACACGTACTATAAGAACACAAATAATAATAACATCCCACGTTTCTATAGCATTTAAAGGTTACTAAGCATATTTCTTTCCTCTAAAGTATGTTGTGTGAAAATCAGCCTTATTTTATAGATGAGAAACCTGAGGCTTGGAGTAATTGAATGTCACGTGCCCATGGTCACATGGCTAATAATTGTCAAAGGAGGGATTAGAACCCATTTTCTGACTGAAGTCAGGGCTCTTTCTTTTATACCATGCTATACCAACAGGGCTAACAGGGAATAAAAATGAAATTATATGCATACACAGAACAGCGGTGAAATTTTTCTTTGGGTACAGTAGAAGGTTAGCTCTTTAAGGGCCAGAGACCATCTCACTTTATATTTGTATCCTCAGTGCCTTCTACAATGCTTTGCACACAGTAGGCACCAAATAAATGCTTGTTGATTAAATGACAGGCTTCAAAATTGTTTTTGTCATTTTCATATGGGGAAAATTTTTCTAACCCAAAGTTTACTATCGAAAGATTGTATTAAAAGTTAAAACCATCCTTAACTAACAATTAACAAGCTCACTCACATGTGTATCGTATATCAAGATTCCAAAGGCAACTGAAAAGTAAGCTTTAGAAGAGTTCAGGAGAGTTCAGCTCCTGGAGAAAAGGCCATAGGGAAAAATCTCTTTATCAAATAAAAGTTTGAAACAGAAGATGGAATACTAAACTTTTTCCCCTACTGTTAGGTTGTAATTTAGTTTTAAGATGTGGTACACATGAACATTTAGGCCATTTGATATAAAGGAATATTAATACCCAATAGTGTAATACAAGAGAAATACAACTTCACCTCAAGTCAAAGGGCCTGAGTTTGAGTCTTGACTCAGTTACTTATATCTATGTGAATAACCTACTCCAGGCCTCCGTCTCTTCATCTGTAAAATGAAGACACCAGAGAAAACTATTTCTAACATTTTTACCCAACTATAATCCTACTGAACAAGTTACAGAATCATAATCATTCAAATTCTCAAAGAATTGAATGATACACAGCCCTGGTGTCTCTTGAGATTTCAGCATTTGCAAGGCCTTGTCTAAATCAGCAGGGATACAAAAGGAAGGATGAACATGGGTAAAAATTATTAGAACCTTTTTTTCTAGAAAAAAATTAATTGTTCTTATCTGTGAATAATCTTTCCTTGCTGAAATAGAAGATGAATGCTAAAAATTAGCATATCTCATGAATTTTTAATTTATTTTCATGCTTGGGTGATAGTCTGTGGTATCAGATTGTTATCAATAGCACTTGTAGAGAAAGAATTTATTAACATAACATATGGTAGGCACTTAATAGTAACTATAGTTCAAGCTGAAATAAAGTTCTCATTCTCATAAGGATATTCTCAAAATGTATCTCTAAAATTTTGTTACAGTAATTTATTTTTTTAAATCATTAATTTCCATACTTAAATTCTTTAGACCAGTGTCACTAAAAAAGACTGACACTGACACAATAAGCAATAAATCTTATTCATTTACAAGCACTCAAATACATAGTTGTACTTCAACAAAATAAGTATATTAAAGTAGAAAATTTAGGTTCTGAAATATGACAGAGAAAATATAGCAGAGTAGAAAATGGCAATAGGAGAAAAGGCCTTTCAGCCAAATAGTTAATTAACTGGAAGAGGCCAGTGGTGCCAGAAAGGACTTTACAATTCAGGGAGGCTTTTCATTCTTTAGTTGTTTCAATTGTTTCCAAATGTTCATGACCCCATTTGGGTTTTCCTCAGCAGAGATACTGTAGTGGTTTGTCATTTCCTTCTCCAGCTCATTTTATAGATGAGGAAACTGAGGCAAACAGGGTTAAGTGACTTGCCCAGGGGTCACATAACTAATAAGTGTTTGAACTCAGATCTTTCTGACTCCAGGCCTGGCATGGGAGCTTGCAATCACAAAAGGATTTCCACACACATGCACATATATATCATACTAAAGCAGAATGTGCTAAATATTCAAAATAATGCAATTATTTAATAAAAATATGTTTTATTTTTAATTTAGACTAACTGGCAGCTTAGATCATGCCAAATGACTATAAAAGGAAGTTTATAAACACAGGTCATCACTGTGAGATGATCTGTGAGAGGCCTTTAGATCTAAGGGTGGGGAGGACACATTTTCAGAAAAGTACCATTTCTCACATTGACAAAATTGTAGTCTCTTTAAAAATCCATAAGACTGGCATTGTTTTTTCTCTGAACATGAGACAAAAATATCACAGCATAACATGCCTTTAGATAAGATCAAAAGGAGTTGCTAATCCTTTCCTTAACATTTCCAGGGACGAGAATTCCACAAATTCCTCCCCACCGTAACCCACTACCAGCATTCAATTTCTTTCTCTCAGTAAGTTCTTCCATAGCTCAGAATCAGAATGAAAGCACCATTAGGGACCATACAGAGCATCCGGCTCTACTTCCACATTTGACATAGAAGGCAGTTGAGGCCAAAGAGATTAAAGATGTCCAGCATCGTGGAGTTAGTTGGTAGAAGAGCCAGGCCAGGATTTCGTAACCAAAACTCCTGCCTCTATCCTCATGCACACAATGAGCTGACCACAGGATCACAGACTTAGAGCTAGAAAGAACCTTCAAGGTCTTTCAGTCCAGCCTCTTCACTTTATAGATGGGAAAACTGAGTCCCAAAGACTGCACTTGAGGACCTAGAGGGCCACATGGAGCCTTGAGGCTGTAGGTTGCCCACCCTGGGCAAGACTATGGCATAGGCTTAGGGTTGCATTCAGAATACCTAGTCCCAGGAGGCTCAGGCTCTACTATTCGCTGTGTAACTCTGAACACATCGAAATTTCACTACGAATCAATTTGTAAAATCATTTGTAAAATGGGGACAATTAAGTCTGTCCTTCCTACCTCACAGGACTATTATAAGGATTAATTAAAAATGCATGTGAAAGTGTTTCGACACCTTTAAAATGCCAGCCAAATAAAAGGTACTATCATTAGAGCTCTCTTTTTAAACGTACATCGGAATCACTAGTAATGTGATGATCCAAATCCAGACCAAAAGTCCATACCACACTTTATCCCAGAGAAGGAGAAGTCTCCAAAGCACTCATTATTCTGGAGGAGCCCCTGTTACCCAGGATTGCAACCTAGGCGTTATCTGTGACTCCTCACTTTCTCTCTCCTTGTGTATCCAATCTGATGCCAAGGCCTGTCAATTTTACCTTCCTAAGATCTTGCACATGCGTCCTTTTCTCCTCTGCCATTGCCACTACCCTGGGGCAGACCCTTATCACCTCATGCTTGGACTACTGCAATAGCCAGCTCTACCGGCATCAAATCTCTCCTCACTCCAAATCCCTGTCCTCCACTTAGCTGTCAAAGTGATCATCCTAAAGTTCAGGGCTGACAATGTCACACTCCTACTCAATAAACTCCACTGCTGTCACTATCAGGGTCAAATGTAACATAATTAAACATAAAATTCTTTGTTTGGCATTCAAAACCCTTCATTACCTTACACACACACACACACATACACACACACACCCCTTTTTAGTCTTCTTATACCCTATACCCTCAGCCCAACCCCCCACATACTATTCAGTCCAAACAAGATGCTCCATCTCCTGATTCTGGGCATTTTCTCCGGCAGTCCTTAATACCCCAAATGCTCTCACTCCTCATCTCTTCCTCCTGGCTTCCCTGGCCTCCTTAAAATCCATGCTAAAACATCTTCCACGGGAAAGATTTCTAATACCCCTTCATTCTAGTGCCTTCCCTGTCGATGATCTCCATCCTGTAGATAGCTTGTTTGTACATAGTTGTCTGCATGTTGTCTCCCCCATTAGACCATCAGCTCCTTGACAGCAAGGACTGTCCTGCCTTTCTCTGAATCCCCGTGCCTAGCACAGTCTGCCACACAGCAGGCACTTAGTCAATGTTTACTGACTGACTAGAATTGTAGTCCCACACTTCAGGCATCGTGGAGATTTCTCACTTCCTTCCCTTTATAAATAGATCAGAAAGGTCAGTGTACACTTTATACTGATACTTGTTCCCCCATTTGTAGTAGAGTGGGGCATATGATGTATAAAATTTAAATTCTGACTTTGTCTTTTAATCTTTATTATTTTATCTTCTGAATATATAATTAAAGGAAACATGCTGGAATTGCACTGCTAAGGCAATCAGAACTCTCGTCAGGTCCTTGGAGCTCCCACAGGCCTTTGCTGCCACATATAACACCTGTGAGACTGCTTCAAAGGGTCTCATGTTCCTGAACAGGAAACCAACAACTTCAGCGAGTCCCTGAACATTTAGAAAGGACAGATAAGAAGAGCAGCAAAGGGCCCTGTAAATTTATACCAGCCAAGAAGGCTGATAAGAACGGCATTTACTATGGCTACAGAAGCTTATTAGCTAGCCCTTGATTAAGCAGTTTTATCTGAAAACTCTCAGATAAATATCAATATGTTTTACATCCCTTTGTCATCTATTAGAAGTAAATGCAATAAATAAATATCATCCCATTTTCACATCAACTCTCAACATATAAATTGCTAACAAATAGTTTATTCTTATAAGATCCCATGAAGTCAGTAGAAATTAAGTGGTGTCTTGAAGGTAATTTCATTCGGTGAGATGCATTTATTCTCAAGCCAGACTCTAAAAGATCATTTGTTCAATAATGTGCATACATTAATCCATATTCAGGAAGTGTGGCACAAAGGATAGAGAGTTAGCAGAGGCAGGGAGGCCTGGGTTCAAGTCCCACATCTGACATGTGTCTGACAAAAGATTGCATGACTCTGGGCATGCCTTAGGCAACTGCCAGTTAGTCAATTGGCATTTATTAAGCATTTACTATTTACTGAGGATACAAAGAAAGTCAATAAACAGTCCCTTCTCTCAAGAACCTCACAATCTAATGAGGGAAACAACATGCAAACCACTATGTACAAACAAGATACAGAGAGGATAACTTGTAGAGATAACTTGTAACAGAGGGAAGGAACTAACATTCAGGGAGAGCGGGAAAGACTTCCTACAGAAAGGGAGCCAGGGAAGCTGGGGGCAGAAATGAGGAGGGAATGAGGGCCAGGCATGTTGGAGAGCCAGTGAAAATGCCTGTAGCAGGGACATCGGGTGTTTCAGAAGGCCATTGCCACTGGATCACAGGCTACATTGGGGAGGGAGGGTGTAAGACTAGAAAAGTAGGAAGGGGCCAAGAAATGGAGGGCTTTAAAAGCCAAATAGAAGCTAAGATTAAGTCTCTGATAAGGTGGCAATATGCACTGGTAGAGGAAGTTCCTCTTTGGGAGATCTCTACATCCATGAAATCACAAGTCTAATACAAAAAAAAAAAAAAATACTGAGTCCTCAATCTAATTGGTTCTTAACT